TGTGTCCCCATGTCACTGCTCCGTGTCCCCGTGTCGCCGCCCGTGTCCCCATGTCACTGCTCTGTGTCCCCGTGTCACCGCTCCGTGTCCCCGTGTCGCCGCTCCGTGTCCCCGTGTCGCCGCCCGTGTCCCCATGTCACTGCTCCGTGTCCCCCATGTCACCGCTCCGTGTCCCCATGTCGCCGCTCCGTGTCCCCCGTGTCGCCGCTCCGTGTCCCCCGTGTCGCCGCTCCGTGTCCCCATGTCGCCGCTCCGTGTCCCCATGTCGCCGCTCCGTGTCCCCCGTGTCGCCGCTCCGTGTCCCCATGTCGCCGCTCCGTGTCCCCATGTCGCCGCTCCGTGTCCCCGTGTCGCCGCTCCGTGTCCCCATGTCGCCGCTCCGTGTCCCCGTGTCGCCGCTCCGTGTCCCCATGTCACTGCTCTGTGTCCCCATGTCACTCCGTGTCCCCATGTCGCCGCTCCGTGTCCCCATGTCGCCGCTCCGTGTCCCCATGTCGCCGCTCCGTGTCCCCATGTCGCCGCTCCGTGTCCCCATGTCGCCGCTCCGTGTCCCCCGTGTCGCCGCTCCGTGTCCCCCGTGTCGCCGCTCCGTGTCCCCATGTCGCCGCTCCGTGTCCCCATGTCGCCGCTCCGTGTCCCCGTGTCGCCGCTCCGTGTCCCCATGTCGCCGCTCCGTGTCCCCGTGTCGCCGCTCCGTGTCCCCATGTCACTGCTCTGTGTCCCCATGTCACTCCGTGTCCCCATGTCGCCGCTCCGTGTCCCCATGTCGCCGCTCCGTGTCCCCATGTCGCCGCTCCGTGTCCCCATGTCGCCGCTCCGTGTCCCCATGTCGCCGCTCCGTGTCCCCATGTCGCCGCTCCGTGTCCCCGTGTCGCCGCTCCGTGTCCCCCATGTCGCCGCTCCGTGTCCCCGTGTCGTTCCCTGGCGGCCGGGTCGGCCCGCATCCTGCAGCGACTGACTGCAGCTTGAGGCGTGGAGCAACAGGATATCAGGTGACTGTTTGCCAGAGTTACACACCTCTATGTTTGCAGGGATCGGATGATCATAGATCAACAGAAAACAGATCAGATAAACACATCTGGACCAAACATCCTCTTTACTGTCAGTGATGGATGATCTAATGTTGAACCGCAGGGCGGACATAGCAGCAGTTATTACTCGTTATTCGCTTTAATAAGCTGCTGATATCAGGAAACATTTCTGCGTCTAACTAGATTGGTTCGTTTTTATGTTTTCTCTCAAGTTTTTAGCCCATTTGTTTTTATTATGGTGAAATGATGCTGAGTCCAGTCTTTGGAAACTCGCTCTGAGCTTCTCGCTGATTGTCCTCCATCTTGGCATTTTGGTACCAAACACAAAAATAAATCATCAGGAGAAACTTCCTGTTTAGGTAGAGAGAATCATGGGTCGCCACTTACAGCCAAACATGACCTTTGACCCCGCTGCTGAGGCCTAGAAGCTGACCAGGACTTCAGTCTCATTGCTAATGGGAAAATTCTTTATTCACAAATGCAGATTCTTTAAATTTTCTTCAAAATCTCTATGATTTCCAACATTAAATTAAAAGTTTTTATGTCTGGATTAAGTTCCTGGAAAATAAAGAAGCCTTAAAGTTTTCAGATTTGATAGCTAACTTTAGCTAAACTGTGTTGCTTGTTTTTTTTTTTCTTGTTGTTGATTCCTTTAATTTGACTGTTTAAGTTTATTTCTCTTTTTATTATCTTATAAAAAAAAATCTGTTATAGATGGCATATGCTCAGTTATACTTGTGCTGTTTGGGAATTTTATTTTGAATTAGTTTGATATAAAAAAAGCTGATTGCTGATGAAACCCCCTTCTTGCTCCTCAGCAGCCTCTGTTCTCCAGCTCCACTCACACTGCTGATAAGATGAATGTTAAAATGGTTCAACTTCTCCAGAAGAAGGAGACGCATTATTTCTTTATTTTTATTAATTTCTAAATGATTAATGAGGCTCAGGTTTAAAATTTATGGCAGTTATTGCCTCCATCAGCTGCATCACTGCTGCCCTCCACTGGCGTATCTGGGTATAGCACCTCCTACCACTTTTAAATAGTTCTGCCTCCCAGTTTAAGCAAAAGTAGCAGCAGTAGTGGAGTCAGAGGAGAGGGGCTGGTTGGCCGTGCTGATGTTCATTAACGTCTGTGGGAACGAAGAATTGCAGTCCTGAGGTTGGACCCTTAAGACTCCCTGTAGATCCCTGTAGCACTGCTCTGACCATAAGAGAAATAATATCTATATTTAGAATCATAAAACCAGTCATAATCTCCTAAAAGACTGAAGCTGGGATTAAAAACTCTAATTAAATTAAAAGATTCAGGTAAATCCATTCAAATCCATTTGAGTCAATGAGTCGATGCAATCAGCTGGTTTTCCTTAGATAGAAAACTTTGTATCAATTTGACTGGATGATCTGGTTGATCTGGATCTATAAAATGACCTGAGATGACATGTGTTGTGAATTTGGCGCTATATAAATAAATTTAATTGAAAATTTTATTATTTTCTGTCACGCTTTATCCTAGCTGGGGTGTTGAGGGGTCCATCCTGGACAGAGAGGAGGGGTCCATCCTGGACAGAGAGGAGGGGTCCATCCTGGACAGAGAGGAGGGGTCCATCCTGGACAGGTCTCCAGTCCATCGCAGGACAACCCTTCACACTCACCTAAGGAGAGTTTAGAGAAGCCAGTGAACCTAACAGTCATGTTTTTGGACTGTGGGAGGAAGCCGGAGTACCCAGAGGGAACCCACGCATGCTCAGTGAGAACATGCAGACTCCATTCAGAAAGATCCTGGGCCTGGAATAGAACCCAGAACCTTCCTTCAGCAAGGCAGCAGTGCTACCCACTGCCCTGCTGAGCAGCCCATATAACTGTTATCCTGTTATATGTGGATATTTTAATGAGCATAAATGGCCATAATTGCTGTCCAAGCTTCCATCCATCATGGACGCCACCTTCCACCCTCTGCAGCAGAATGGAGAGGAGCTGAGCAGCTCCTTTAGTCAAAGACTTTTACAGCCTGCTTGGCAAAAGGAGCTACTGCAGGTCATTCATCCGCTGCAACCAGACTCTATAATGAGACGTTATAACTGCAATAACTGCTGCAATGGAGAATGAGCAATTACTATATGATACCTTGCACAATAACCCGTTTCTCTATATCTGACACCCAGTACAATAACTATATATATATATATATATATATATATATATATATATATATATATATATATATATATATATATATATATATATATATATATATATATATATATATATATATATATATATATATATATAATCCATCTATATAGTAGCAGCCATTAAAAATGACCCTTCCCATGCAAAAGCCAGATGAATGGCAGCAAAATCCCCTCCACCTTCCAGCCACTGGCCTTCTCCTGGGAATAAATATTACTTTACTCTGACTCCGCCCTTCCACTGAATTACAGGGTCTGACCAGGAGATGGCGCTTCTCTTTAGCTCTTAATGTCCTTCAAATCATGACAGAAAAAATTATTTTAAATGTTTCAAAAGAAATTGTAGGGGACCAGCCAAGGACCAGGCAAGGTCCAGGCAAGGACTAGCCAAGGACCAGACAAGGACAAACCAAGGACCAGACAAGGATCAACCAAAGACCAGCCAGGGACCAGCCAAGGTCCAGACAAAGACCAGCCAAGGACAAGACAAGGACCAGCCAAGGTCCAGACAAAGACCAGCCAAGGACAATACAAGGACCAACCAAGGACCAGCTAAGGACCAGCCAAAGTCCAGACAAGGACCAGCCAAGGACCAGCCAAGGACCAGCCAAAGTCCAGACAAGGACCAGCCAAGGTCCAGACAAAGACCAGCCAAGGACAATACAAGGACCAGCCAAGGACCAGCTAAGGACCAGCCAAAGTCCAGACAAGGACCAGCCAAGGACCAGCCAAAGTCCAGACAAGGACCAGCCAAGGACCAGCTAAGGACCAACCAAAGTCCAGACAAGGACCAGCCAAGGACCAGCCAAAGTCCAGACAAGGACCAGCCAAGGACAAGACAAGGACCAGCCAAGGTCCAGACAAAGACCAGCCAAGGACAATACAAGGACCAACCAAGGACCAGCTAAGGACCAGCCAAAGTCCAGACAAGGACCAGCCAAGGACCAGCCAAGGACCAGCCAAAGTCCAGACAAGGACCAGCCAAGGTCCAGACAAAGACCAGCCAAGGACAATACAAGGACCAGCCAAGGACCAGCTAAGGACCAGCCAAAGTCCAGACAAGGACCAGCCAAGGACCAGCCAAAGTCCAGACAAGGACCAGCCAAGGACCAGCTAAGGACCAACCAAAGTCCAGACAAGGACCAGCCAAGGACCAGCCAAAGTCCAGACAAGGACCAGCCAAGGACCAGCCAAGGACCAGCCAAGGACCAACCAAGGACCAGCCAAGGACCCATCAAGGAAAGTGGGACACTTTGAATGGTTACTACTGTATAAATTCCCAATGCAAACAGCCTGTGCAGTAATCCTGTATAATGATCCTACTATTAAGCAAAAACCCATCATATGTGGACGCCCTGTATTTACTGTATATATCCCATCATGCACCTTTTTCTTTCTTTGGCTCCTTCTTCTTCTCTTTTTGAGCTGATACATTTCTCCCCTGTGAGATCAATAAAGTGAATCCATCAATAATTCATCCTCTGGACTAAGCCGGGGTCGGTGTGGTTAGGTGATGCTGTGGGCCACCTGTGCTACCCCCCCCTCCAGGACTTCCCCACATAACTGCAGTAATAAACTCATCAGCATGAGCAGAGAGTTTGGACCGAGCCGATCCTCCACAGACCGGGTCAGAACCTTTCCTCCTGCAGGTCTTCACTGATGATTGATGGATGGTGAAACCTTAGAGTTTACCATGACAGCTGATACCTTTGTTTTTCTAACATGTTCATGAGCTGAAAGCTGGAGCAATATTTACCTGATGATTGTTTTTCTCACGCAGACCGACAGGCTGAGGGTATAAAGAGACTCTGCTGCCATCCGTCAGCGTCCGACTGAGGGTTCTGCTCTGTAGACTGAAACCTGCTCACAATCCAAGGTAAGAACTTTCTTCTTCTCATTTCTTTCACTGTTTGAACGTATCGGTGAATATTGAACCTTCCTGATGTTTCCTCCACAGATGACTTCAGGACTAGTCTTTGCTCTGCTGCTCTGTCTGAGCTGCGGACTCTGGATGGCTGGAGAGGTGAGCTTACAGCTTCTTCCCTGAATCATAAAGTCCTCAGCTGAGGGACGCTGATGGTTCTGGAGAAGTTTCAGACAGAGCAGCGCTGAGTGTTAAACGCTCCGCAGCTGTTATTATAGTCAAACAGCAAAAATGCTTTTTAACTTCATTTTTAACTTTCGCTCTAAGCAGGGAGAGCAGAAGCTGCAGCGCTACAAGATGCTCTAAATGTGGATCTAATGTTTGGTTTTTTCTCTCCACAGGCGTCGTGTATAAAACCAAGTAGGTGCTTTTTAAAATTACATTTAGATGGTGATGGGAAATTGATCTGACTGCTTTTCGTTTCAAATGATGTTTTTCTGAGAAGAAAAATCTGGAATCAGTAAATAATCAATAAGTTTGGAAGAAAAAACAATGAAACCTACAAACGGTCAGGGTCTGATAAACGCGCCGCCTTTCATCACCTGCAGTTTAAAGTCATTCGCTTCCAAAGCATCTAATGCGATGATGAAACAGTGACATGAAAGGATGGAGGGACCGGTCTGGATCGGTCTGAACCGGACCTGCTTCGGTCCAGATGCAGCTCATCAGGCAGCTCACTGCTAAAACAACCTACAAATACATAAAACTTCCTGACAATAAGTGCATTTATCTTTCATTTGAATATATAAATAAGATGATCTGCCAATCAAATTAGAACTTTTACTCTTCTAATGCAATAGTTTTTTTTCTTATTTTAAAGGAAAAGTCATCAATGAATGATCAATGGATCATTATTTATACATCAGGAGCAAACAGGGCTTTAATCCAAGCAGGATGCAGAATAAACCTGATTTTGGAGTCAGAGACCAAGACCAGCATTCAGGGGACTTTCAATCATTGGGTCCATTTTTATTGACTCGTTGAATCTTTCTTGCAGTTCCTAAATGTCGCTGCCCGTCTGGATGGAGCCAATATGGCCGACGCTGCTTCCTGTTCTATAACTATGAGAGGGACTGGGCCACTGCTGAGGTAACCACAGCTGCTTAGAGAGCAAACCAGGACATCGCTGATGTCTCTACTAGCCCCATGTTTGACTTAAGAGGTCAGAGGTCAGACAGCTTAAAGTCACCAAGAGATTCACTTTTATGACGACTGATTTCTTCATCTTTTTTACACCAGTTTAGTTATTAATTCTGTAGCCGGTCTGATTCTAAATCGCTCTTCAGATCGGATATATTTTAATACACATTCCTAGAGTGAATACATAGATCTTCCACCTTAAACAGATTAATAAAACTCAACAAAAATATGGTTAGAATTTATTATCGTTAGCAGTTTGGGAATATAGCATCACATCAGATTGTATCCTAATGAGGATAATTAGCTTTTGTCGTTTTTTCTCTAAGTTAAATAAATGTACAATAAAACATGAATTTTTATGGAAAACTATGATGAAAGAAATTATTTTGTTAGTTTATAATTTTTTAAAATAGCAACAGGCAATAAAGAAAATGTGCTTAAATGAAACAAAACTAACAAGTCTATTTTTAAAATTTAAGGAGTAGAAAATACAAAGTTGTCTGAAACCTAATTACTCCAGAACGAAGATAACAACATGTTTACTTAATTAACAAACTATTTGTAGTTGTTAATTAACACCTCTGAGTAAAACCAATTCTATCTCTGTAGTGATAAAAGCAGTTTAAGAAGAATATGATTTATTTAACTGATATTTAAGTTATAGGAGTTTATTACTCTGTTATATTGAAAATAAAGAGAAAAGTAGGGTTTGATTAGAAGCCATTTTAGCTGTTTGCAAGCATCAAATAAGACACGGTTGTTACATTTTCCATGAACCTTCATTTTCTTTTTGCATTTGTCCACATGTCATCCTACTTTATTTTTATATTGTTTTTTTCCCAGCGTATCTGCATTGACAACGGTGCAAACCTGGCCTCCTTCCACAGCAGCAGTGAGTACCAGTTCCTAAAGAATCTGGTGAACAGCAAGAAAGGTTCTTATGTCAGGACCTGGGTTGGAGGCAACGATGCAGCAAAGGTGAGTTTAATTAGGAAGAAGGTTTTGTTGTTTTGGTTTCTGCTGTTCTGCTCTTTGAATGAAAAACATTTCGCTTTAGGACGGAGTTTGGATGTGGACCGATGGGTCCAGATTCAGCTACGCCCACTGGGGCAAAGGAGAGCCCAACAACACTGGTGGACGAGAGAGCTGCATGGAGATCAACCTGAGAGGTGCTCGGCTTTAAAAGAAAGCTTTCTAAGCTAAAATGATTAATCTGTTAATAAAAAAGAAGATAAGTGAGAAAGTAAATAATTCCTCCTGATTTAAATCTGTTTACAGGATCGTCTCTTCACCTGAACGATGAAAAATGCTCCAGAAAGAGTTACTTCATCTGTGCCAAAGACCTCTAACTCCCGCACAATCCAACATGTGACTCCCTCACTGCTGGTGATGTCACTTCCTGCAGGATGTCAGGCCTCGATGACATCACTGCCGGAGGGCGACCATTCAGTCTGATATCAAATAAATCACTCAAATGAATAAAAGCATTTCCTGTTTCTGTTGTTTCATTCATGGGCGATTCTTTAACTACGGGAACTTTTATGTCCTTTTGATCATATTTCATGAAAACATTTTAAAAAGGGACATTTCACACCTTTATACTTATCTTTACTGTCATGAATGTCATAAGTTTGCCAAAAAATTTGGGACTCCGTAATTTTCTCTGGTCCCCTCCCTGATCTGACCAGTGATGACATGTTTAGCCGCATGTCGTCATTCAACCGCTGGTTGTCTAGGTGGTGTCCTGAAAACAACGTGGGCTACATTAATAATTGGCAATCCTTTTGGGGAAAGCCTGGTCTGATTCGGAGAGACGGCATCCATCCCACTTTGGATGGTGCAGCTCTTCTTTCTAGGAATCTGGCCACATTTATTAGTCCTCCAAAACCCTGACCCCCCAGGGTGCAGACCAGGAAGCAGAGTCCTAGTTTAACAGACCTCTCTGCAGCTTCTCTACTGTTACCCACTCTTTACTCCATCCAGACAGTGTCTTGCCCACGACCAAAATCTAATAAATTAGCAAATATTCCCAAAGGAGTAAATCATGATAATCTAATTAAAATCAAAATAACTCCAATTGGGGAAAAAGTTAAAACAATTAAATGCGGTCTGTTTAACATAAGATCTCTTTCCTCTAAAAGTCTGCTAGTTAATGACTTGATTTGTGATAATCACATTGACTTGTTTTGCCTTACAGAAACCTGGCTGCAGCAAGAGGATTATGTGAGCATAAATGAGGCAACTCCTTCAAGCTATTTAAATTTTCACATCCCCAGAAGTTCTGGGCGAGGAGGAGGAGTAGCAACAATCTTCCAGTCTGACTTACTGATTACTCCCAAAACAGTTAATACCTACAACTCTTTGATCATTTAACCCTTAATTTCCTTCATCCAAATTTCAAGGCAAGAAAACCTCTTCTTTTTGTAACTTTGTATCGTCCACCAGCTCCTTACTCTGAATTTTTAGATGAGTTTTCAGAGTTCCTTTCTGATTTGGTATTAAATACTGACAGGGTCATCATAGTGGGAGATTTTAACATCCATGCTGACATTGAAGGCGATAGCTTAAGAGCAGCCTTTAATGCTATCTTAGACACTATTGGCTTAGTTCAAAATGTGAATCATAATATTCTTTTAGAAAGACTTGAATATTTTGTTGGAATTAAAGGAACAGCTCTAGACTGGTTTAAATCTTATCTATCTGATCGATTTCAGTTTGTTCATGTTAATGATAGATCTTCAACACGCTCAAAGGTTACCTGTGGAGTACCACAGGTAACCTTTGAGCAGGATCAGTGCTAGGACCAATTCTCTTTACTTTATACATGCTCCCAATCGGTAGAGTTATTAGACAGCATGGGATTAATTTCCACTGTTATGCTGATGATACCCAGCTATATCTGTCTATAATCCAGATGAAGCTAACCCATTACATAGATTACAGGCATGTCTGAAGACATAAAAACCTGGATGACTCTTAACTTTCTGCTTCTGAATGCAGACAAAACAGAAGTTTTAGTCTTTGGACCAGAGTCTCTGAAAAAGAAGCTGATTAGCCAGTCACTTCATTTGGATGGGATTAAACTGATTTCAGATAATAAAGTAAAAAATCTTGGTGTTATTTTTGATCAGGACCTGTCATTTAAATCCCAGATCAAAGAGGTTTCTAGAATTTCCTTCTTTCATCTGAGGAACATTGCAAAAATGAGCAATCTCCTGTCCAGGGGTGATGCTGAGAAACTAGTCCATGCATTTGTTACTTCAAGGCTGGACTATTGTAATTCTTTACTATCAGGAAGTCCACAAACTGTAGTTAAAAGCCTTCAGCTGATCCAAAATGCTGCAGCCAGAGTTCTGATGAAAATGAAAAAGAGAGATCATATCTCTCCTATCCTGGCTTCTCTTCATTGGCTTCCTGTTAAATCCAGAATAGAATTTAAAATCCTCCTTCTCACATATAAAGCCTTAAATGGCCAAGCTCCATCTGATATCAGAGATCTGATTGTTCCTGATGTTCCTAACAGAGCACTTCGCTCTCAATCTGCAGGTTTACTAGTGGTTCCTAGAATTTCTAAAAGTAGAATGGGAGGCAGATCTTTTAGTTCTCAGGCTCCTCTCCTGTGGAACCAACTACCAGTTTTAGTCCGTGAGGCAGACACCCTGTCTACTTTTAAGGCTAGGCTTAAAACTTTCCTTTTTGATAAAGCTTCTAGTTAGAGTGGCTCAGGTTATCCTGAGCTATCTCTATAGTTCTGCTGCTATAGGCTTAGACTGCTGGAGGACATAGGGACCCCCATTTCATCATTCTGCTTCATTCTATCTCTATTCTCCCACTCTGCAGAATCTGTTAGTTCAATCTCTAACGTTCTGCTCTCTCTGCTTTTTCTCATAGTAGCTTCATCTGGTCTGTTCCTGTTTGGCTGTGACTCCATCCTGGAGAGAAATATCAGCTGTGCTGCTGCCATCAACACCTTTGTTTCTAGATGTTGGAGCTTGGCCTGTTTTCCATTGTGGTCCTGTTTCTCTGACCGTGACTGAGTGGATGTGCTCTCTTCATCCTCTGACATGGGAGCTGCCTTGTAGCTTGTCTGCCTGGCTGTGTGTTTCCTGGACGGGGCCGCCTTTTACAGCTGCTTTTTGTGTCTCTGCTTCCGTCTCCTTGAACCCCAGTGGGCCTCAGCAGATGGCCACTCACACTGAGCCTGGTTCTGCTGGAGGTTTCTTCCTGTTCAAAGGGAGTTTTTCCTCTCCACTGTCGCTACAAGCATGCTTAGTGTGAGGGATTGCTGAAGAGTCAATGAGTCGATGCAATCAGCTGGTTTTCCTTAGATAGAAAACTTTGAATCAATCTGACTGGATGATCTGGTGAACTGGAAAGTGACCTGAGATGACATGATGTGAATTGGAGCTATAGAAATAAACTGAATAGAATTTAATTGAATTGAAACGGTGTTGGTTTGGAGGACCCAAATGCAGAGGCCAGTAGGCAGAGGTGAATTTAAGTGGGTTTATTAAGGTTCACAGGAACTGAGGCAGGAATCAAAATCCAACAGAAAACTACAAATGCACCATAACCAAGGAGACATCAGGGGTAAACCAAACCTCTAGGAGCCAGGGAGACACGAGGAAAGCAGACAGACGTTAGACGAGGATCCAGCAAACAGGAACTGAAGAGGGAGGGCTTTTAAAGGGGACAGAGACAAAGAGAGGGCTAACGAGGGGATTGGAAACAGGTGAGGGCAGAACAGAAAACAGAGCAAGGGAAAGAGGACACAAGAGGGCAGCAGAGGACAACAAATGGAAAACCAAGAAAAACAGGAACTAACAAACCAAGACTCTGACATTTACAATGAAACTGTTTTAGGACATTTATTTCAGTAAGCTGTGATGATTTTTTTCACCTTTTTTAGCCTTATTTATATGTAAATATTACCGTTTTGTCCTCGTCTCACAGCCAGACTTTTGATCTTCAATGATAAAAATGAATAGTAAATAAAAATAAAAAAAATTCTAATGTTTTCAAATATCATTGACTAAAATATCAGTAAAATAATCAAACTATAATTGGAGTATTTAATGTCATACAACTGTTAATGTGATTTTCTTAACGAATTGTAGGTTTCCCACACTATTATCATTATTTCCATCACAACACTGTAATGTCCCTTTAAAAAGTTTCTATGAAAGATTGTTTGGGTAGTTGCTATGGAGACGAACAGTGACATCACAGCACAGGTCTGACATGGTGGGAACTTTGATTTCATTCATCAACTTTTGAAGTAGAGCCAAAGTAAATATTACTGGAAATGAAAATATTTTTATTGTATGTAATTTACAAACATGTCGTAACATCAACTCAGTTTGGAAATGATTGTTATTTTAACACATAAATGTATTTTCTAAGCATAAAATGCCAGAGACCCTTCCTCAGCTAGTATGTGATGCTAGAGTAGATTTTCCTGCCAATTTCTGTCAGATTGTAATTTCCACCACATTGCATTCTTTGGTGGAAATTAGGCGTAATTCATAGAAACACAAACAAGGCTCTTGTTCTCACATTGTATTTATCTCATTTATTATTACAACAATGTGGTAATATTATAAAATAACACTTTTTTAGACAACTTTTGACATATTTCTAACTATAATTTACATGCCAAGCATTTTGTGATGGTGCCTACCCCCCTCTCTCCCGCCCTTAGTATCACCTATGCACAACTGCAATTCATTTATTATTATTTATTTAATTATAATTATTCTTTATTATGATGCTTCATAAAGTTTTTAAAAAGAAAGGTTTGATATCTTTATGGTCCATTCATTGTAATTTCCACCACATCATTTGTTTTTAAATGAATTGTTGCACACATCACTCTGTTTTTAACAACAAGCTTTATCAGAAAGGAACCTTTTAGGCTTTGCTTTCAAAGTAGAGCTGAATATTCACATAGAAAGATATGTGAAAGGACATCGTTAGTTACAGTTAAGTTATTTCCCTGTCTGGGATTATTAAAGTATGTCTGATTCTGATTCTGACAGTTAAAATGATCAATTATTCAATCAACTATAGTAGATTAAGTTTAAAGCAATCTTTTAACTTGTCCAACATCTCAGACTGAAAGTAATGTCATTGTTTTGAAGAAGCCCATTATGATTCTGAGAGAGACTCTATAGCAGCAGCCATAGATTAGGGTAATGGCAGGGAGGCCTTTTTTATCCTCAAAGATTATAAGATGCTCCTGTTATTTATCAATAACTACAAAAATCACTTTTTAATTGAGAAATAATAAACTGGAGAAATATAAACATTGATTTTTATATAATTTTAATTGTTAAAGTTAAAACAGAGAGTCTCAGATTAACACAGGCGTTTCTGCAGTGTAGGATCCTGCAGGGTGGAGGGAGGAGCATTTACTTCTGCTTCATCCATAGACCTGGAAGCTCTGTGGAGAAACTGCAGTTTGTCCAGAAGTGGGATGGATGTAAGGTGGGTCAGCATGGAGCATTCAAAGGACTTCATCAGCGCAGAGCTCTGAGCTCTTTACCTGATGAGGAGGATTTCCACCTATTACTTTATCGCTTTAAACGCAGACACAATGGCTTATAAAACAAGACAATGATGCAAAATACACACAAGTCCCACTCTGTAAGGTTTTAATAATTATAATGATTACAGTTTTACTCCCAAACTGAGATACATGATCAAGAAAGAAGCTGCTGCCGGTGGAGGAACCATCGATCATCACATCTATTGGTTCAAACAGACCTGCCTGCTTCTTATTCCCTGAGATCAACCTTTGCTTTGTACCTCAGTGACTTGGAAGCATCTTAAGGCAAATCAGCCATGTGTAAAATAGGATGTAAATCACAAGTTTAAATAGTATGAAATTTCATGAACTGGTCAAGTAAATGCCATCAAAAATGCAAATGGTTTCCATCATTCTTTTGCATGTCTGGACCAACAAAAACATAAGTGTCACAATAATCAGCCGCAGATCTTCAGTTCCAGACCGAAGGAGCAGAGAAGATGGAAAGTCTGTGGATCATCGTCGCTGCAGCGTGTAAGTCCTTCATCTTCAATCATACTTCCTGATTTCATGGTCTGATTTCTCTCCTGTGTGATGTCATAAAATGTTCAAACCTTCACTATTAAAATACATTAGAAAAAACTTTTGTACTATTTCTAAGAAACAATAAAAACAATCAAAGTGTTCAATCAATCAGAAATATGAAAGCTGTAGAAAATGTTTGCTGTGAGGCGCTCACCTCTTCAGCTCACAGCTTTTCCACACGACTTCATTCTAGAGACTCGGATGATTATGAAAAAATAGAATGCACTTTTTTTTTTAGAAAGTTGATAATTGAGCAGATAAGACAATTTACCAATGGAATCATTTATATAATAATATAATATATAATAATAATTTATATCTAAAATTAGAAGAAAGCTGCACTACCTTATTTCAGTTCAGTTTATTTCTATAGCCCAATTCACAACACGTCATCTCAGGTCACTTTACAGTTTCAAGTGTGCGTGAATGAGTTAATGAATGTAGTGTAAAGCGCCTTGGTCAAGTCTCCTAACTTGAATAAAGGCGCTATATAAGTACATGCCATTTACCATTTACCATTTCAAGTGCATAATATCTAAATACTACAAACCGGATTCCAAAAAAGTTGGGACACTAAACAAATTGTGAATAAAAACTGAATGCAATGATGTGGAGGTGTCAAAAACAAATATTCTATTCAGAATAGAACACAAATGGCAGATCAAAAGTTTAAACTGAGAGAATGTATCATTTTAAGGGAAAAATATGTTCATTCCAAATTTCATGGCGTCAACAAATTCCAAAAAGGTTGGGACAAGGCCATTTTTACCACTGTGTGGCATCCCCCCTTCTTCTAACAACACTTAACAGACGTCTGAGGACAGAGGAGAGCAGTTTCTCCAGTTTAGAAATAGAAATGCTCTCCCATTCATGTCTAATACAGGATCTAACTGTTCAATTGTCTTGGGCCTTCTTTGTTGCACCTTCCTCTTTATGATGCGCCAAATGTTCTCTATAGGTGAAAGATCTGGACTGCAGGCTGGCCATTTCAGAACCCGGATCCTTCTCCTACGTAGCCATGATGTTGTGATTGCTGCAGAATGTGGACTGGCATTATCTTGTTGAAAAATGCAGGGTCTTCCCTGAAACAGATGACGTCTAGATGGAAGCATATGTTGTTCTAGAACCTGAACATAGGTCTCTGCATTTATGGTGCCTTTCCAGACATGCAAGCTGCCCATGCCACAAGCACTCATGCAACCCCATACCATCAGTGATGCAGGTTTCTGAACGGAGCGTTGATAACAGCTTGGGTTATCCTTGTCCTCTCTGGTCCGGATGACACGGCGTCCCAGTGTTCCATAAAGAACTTCAAATCGTGACTCATCTGATCACAGAACAGTCCTATATTTTACCTCACTCAATTTTAAATGATCCTTGGCCCAGTGCAAATGGCTGAGCTTGTGGAACTTGCTTAGAAATGGCTTCCTCTTTGCACTGTAGAGTTTCAGCTAGCAACGGCGGATTGTGTTCACTGACAATGCTTTCTGTGCTTTCTGGAAGAATTCCTGAGCTCATTCTGTTATTTCCTTGACAGTAGCATTCCTGTTTGAGGTGCAGTGACGTTTAAGGGCCCAGAGATCACAAGCATCCAGTAAAGTTTTACGGCATTGACCCTTACACACAGCGATTGTTCCAAATTCTCTGAATCTGATGATGATGTTATGCACGGTTGATGATAATAACTTAAAAGTCTTTGCTATTTTACGCTGGGCAGCACCATTCTGATATTGCTGCACTATCTTTCTGCGCAACAATGGTGGAATAGGTGATCCTCTTACCATCTTGGCTTCAGAGAGACACTGACACTCTGAGAGGCTCTTTTTATACCCAATCTTGTTGTCACTTGACCTAATTAGTGTTAGTTGATCTTCCAGCTGTTCGTTATTTGCTCAATATCTTTTTCCCAACCACTTATTGCTGCTTGTCCCAACTTTTTTGTGATCTGTAGAGACTGTGAAATTTGGAATCAACATATTTTTCCTTAAAAATGTAACATTTACTCAGATTAAACTTTTGAGCTGTCATCTATGTTCTATTATGAATAGAAAATAGACATTTGCCATCTTTACATCATTGCATTCAGTTTTTATTCACAATTTGTTTAGTGTCCCAACTTTTTTGGAATCCGGTTTGTAAGTTCAAGGGTCAAATTAAGGGCAAAAGTTCTTATCTAAGAAATCGCAGTAATTTTCTTCAGTGTTTTAAATAACGTAAACTCATGTATTTATCTTGGCTTCACAGAAGATCTGCTGTTTGTTGCTCAGTCTTTGTCTCATCTGACCACAGGACAGAGAAACTGGCAGAGTTCAGTAAACCTCATGTTTACATTTTCCTTTATCTTTCATACCTTGAAACGTCTAATTGATGGCCTGGTTTTCTAAAGATTTTAACGTTGAACCACTATCCTACCATCAGCTGTGTTTGATGTTCATGATCCTTTCTTCTCCTTCACCAGTAAAAGCTTTTCATTCTTAAAGGCACACTATGCAACATTTTTCAGTTAATTAATGTGTTCCATAACGTTTTGGATGATTAAATTAGTCATTTCAGGTGAACAAAGGTTTTTCGGCCGCCCTGGTGGTCTGTGGGGGAAATACCGTACTTGCAATTGCAGGAGCACCGACCCGCACCCACAGGCTCAGAAGTCTCGCAAGAGTCTGTCTTGCTTTACGGCGAGAACTGCTACACCCCCCAGTTAAAAGCATGGTCATTGCTAGCACAGTGGCGATCTTTGTGCAGTTATCATGGCGGAACCAGCGTGAAAACAGCGAAAGCCCATGTCGGAGCAGGCAAGAAAGAGGAAAAGGGCTCCGGACAGAGAGAGGAGTCGTACACGGGTGAACATCGGGCAAGCTTTTTCCGAATGGCGAGAGCTAAAATAAAAAGAAGGCTGCAAGGCTGACGCGGACCTCGCGTTTCTGCTGATGCGATTGTAAGTAACATTGGAATGGTTTCTCTCTCTCTGTGTGCATGTTCATACTTTCACTGTGTTAGTCATTCGTTGCGTTCGCCTGTCTGCTAAGCTCAAAACAACCGCGCCTGGCTTTACGGAGAAACCAGGAGAACAGCTGAGCATATTTACGACAGTGCACTTTTATTTTCGGCCTCTGGGGGGAGCCTCGCTGGAAAATCAACACCGGTAGCATAGTGTACCTTTAAGCCCTTGGAAAAAGCGACCAAAAAACTCCAATCAGGACATAAAATTAACTACAAATACTAATCTTTCCGATTAAAGACGAAACGATTTTCTTAGATTAAATCTCAGCGGTTAGGAATCCAGCCCAGTTCCCAGATGGTCCCAGATGGTCCATACTTGTAGGCTGCTTGTTTTCTCTCTCTCATCCAGTTTGTCCATAGGGACATGTCCCCACGGTCCATAGGGACCATAGGGACTCATTAATCTGTCTCCCTAACATCAATGTGGTGTAATCTGCTTGAATTAAAAGAAAAACCTTTGAGAAGGGGAGCATAGCAGGGTGTCTCCCAGTCCCCCCTGCTAATCAGACACAGACTGAATGAATGTCTCTCTGTGTTGCAGGGATGTGTGCTGCGCCTGGTCTCCCTGAACCTCAATTTCATTTAATCAACGAACTGAAGACCTGGACTGAAGCTCAGAGCTACTGCAGAGAAAAGTACTCAAACCTGGCAGTGATAAGGAATTCTGAGGACGTGAAGACGCTAACCAACATGGTGGATTTGAACACATTTACCCAGGATGTAAGTCTGGTTCAAATGTAACATTAAAAATGTTAAACTGTCTTATTTTTGGTGACAAGAGTTCTCCTGTTTCAAGTGTTTATGTGACACTAACATTAGCGGTAACAGCCCGATCCGGTGGGGGAGTATTTCAGTCCAGATATTTATCCTTGGCTCCAGCTTTGTCCCACTGAGGACTTTCTTAGAACTCATCCAAAATACGACATATCCTGAGCTATTTTCTGCATGTGTGCTGCTATAGGCTTAGACTGCTGGAGGACATAGGGACCCCTTTTTCATCATTCTGCTTCATTCTATCTCTATTCTCCCACTCTGCAGAATCTGTTAGTTCAATCTCTAACGTTCTGCTCTCTCTGCTTTTTCTCATAGTAGCTTCATCTGGTCTGTTCCTGTTTGGCTGTGACTCCATCCTGGAGTGACCTGAGATGACATGATGTGAATTGGAGCTATAGAAATAAACTGAATAGAATGAATAGAGGTGAGTTTATTGGGACTCAGATATCAGCTGTTCCTTGCAGGGAGCCTGGATCGGTCTCTACGATGACGTGGACAGCTGGAGGTGGTCCTACTCTGAGCCAAACTTCTACCAAGATGGTGAGGCTGAGTTCAGGAACTGGGTGTCTGGAGAACCAAACAACGGTAATGGTGATGAGCCATGCGGAGGGATGAGGGTGACTGGAGAGTGGTTCGATGTTCGCTGTGAAGAATCCATGAAACTGGTCTGCTCTGATGTTCAAGGTGAGGATGGATGATCAAACCAAGCAGTTTGTTCTCTTCATCTTTTCCTCTGTTATTCTTCCTCCAGGTCTCCTGTTCTATTAGTGTCACTCTGTGTGATGGCTGTTATTCACCAGAAATAACTATTATTCTTCTTTAAGATTAATCTTTCCCCTGAGTTTCTTGAAAGAAAACAAACTTCTCACTTCACTACTGCAATTTTTTTTTTTGTGATTGTAATGGTGTACTTTCTTTTTTCGATCATGATGCTGTCTGGACCCAGTTAGCTAAGGCTTTCCCCATCTGCTTAACATCTCTAGGATTCCCTATAGAGTTCAGAGCAGAGAGAGTACTCCATGGAAAGCCTCTACCTCTGAGCATGACCAGGGGTGGACTGGGACAGAAAATGGCATTTTGGTCTAGACTGGACACCCACATTTTTTTTAGAGCCCCTGTAGATCATGTCCTGAGCCCTGTTATGGCCCCTGTACTAAAAAACATAATACTTCTAATAATGATCTGGGCTGGAACAGACATGGTTACTGATGGGTCCTTTGGATCTATTTCATTGTTTCTTTACAAATTCTGTTTTACTAATTTATATTCAAAAACCATAAGGTGATAGCTTCAGTGGCACTGAGATAGGATCCAAGTTTTCATCTGTTAAATGTTGTGTTTTCCACAACAAATTTTAAAAAATGCTGTAATTTTTACAGATGAATTTAACAGTTTTTCTTTAGTTCAAATTCAAATTTATAGAAAACAGTACTTTTAACCTGAATTAAGTCAGAAATATGTAAAATTCCTTAATTCTAAATGTATATTGACCTCATAAGAAATAGAATTTTTATTGAACCTCATTGCAAAGAAATTTCTCTTCATGCAGCTCTCTTAATATATTTGAATCTCTTGTTTTTTATTTCCTGCTTTTCTGGGCCCCCATGGAAACACGCTGGCCCCCTCCTGGCCCCCTGGTACATTTGGTCTAGATCCGCCACTGTTCCTTCCCTTCACTAGACGTGGATATACACTATATTGCCAAAAGTATTTGCTCACCTGCCTTGACTCACATATGAGCTTAAGTGACATCCCGTTCCTAATCCATAGGGTTCAATATGACGTCGGTCCACCCTTTGCAGCTAGAACAGCTTCAACTCTTCTGGGAAGGCTGTCCACAAGGTTTAGGAGTGTGTTTATGGGAATTTTTGACCATTCTTCCAGAAGCGCATTTGTGAGGTCGCACACTGATGTTGGACGAGAAGGCCTGGCTCTCAGTCTCCGCTCTAATTCATCCCAAAGGTGTTCTATCGGGTTGAGGTCAGGACTCTGTGCAGGCCAGTCAAGTTCATCCACACCAGACTCTGTCATCCATGTCTTTATGGACCTTGCTTTGTGCACTGGTGCACAGTCATGTTGGAAGAGGAAGGGGCCAGCTCCAAACTGTTCCCACAAAGTTGGGAGCATGGAATTGTCCAAAATGTCTTGGTATGCTGAAGCATTCAGAGTTCCTTTCACTGGAACTAAGGGGCCAAGCCCAGCTCCTGAAAAACAACCCCACACCATAATCCCCCCTCCACCAAACTTTACACTTGGCACAATGCAGTCAGACAAGTACCGTTCTCCTGGCAACCGCCAAACCCAGACCCGTCCATCAGATTGCCAGATGGAGAAGCGCGATTCGTCACTCCAGAGAACGCGTCTCCACTGCTCTAGAGTCCAGTGGCGGCGTGCTTTACACCACCGCATCCGACGCTTTGCATTGCACTTGGTGATGTATGGCTTGGATGCAGCTGCTCGACCATGGAAACCCATTCCATGAAGCTCTCTGCGCACTGTTCTATAGCTAATCTGAAGGCCACATGAAGTTTGGAGGTCTGTAGTGATTGACTCTGCAGAAAGTTGGCGACCTCTTCGCACTATGCGCGTCAGCATCCGCTGACCCCGCTCCGTCAGTTTACGTGGCCTACCTCTTCGTGGCTGAGTTGCTGTCGTTCCCAAACACTTCCATTTTCTTATAATACAGCTGACAGTTGACTGTGGAATATTTAGGAGCGAGGAAATTTCACGACTGGATTTGTTGCACAGGTGGCATCCTATCACAGTTCCACGCTGGAATTCACTGAGCTCCTGAGAGCGACCCATTCTTTCACAAATGTTTGTAAAAACAGTCTGCATGCCTAGGTGCTTGAATTTATACACCTGTGGCCATGGAAGTGATTGGAACACCTGATTCCAATAATTTGGATGGGTGAGCAAATACTTTTGGCAATATAGTGTATTTTAGTATATCCAGCTGTAAAATTTGTCTGATATTTAAATTTTTTATCCGAGGATTGACCCTCTGCCGTTTCCCAGGATGCACAGCTTTGAGTGGTAACTAGGTGACTGCCAGAGAGGAACCAGAGAAACTTATGGGACTGATCCAATCAGCTCTCTGATCAACCAGTCGCCTGGAACGCTGGTTGATCAGAGCATCGCTTTGGACAGAAACGCTGCACAGGTTTCACCAGCAACCTTCTCCCCACCCCCCGCTCTCTCTTGTCTGTGCAATCACAGTAGTTCTAATCAGCACATGATGCACGAATCATTGTGCTGCCTGCTCGCTCTCACTGGCATTAAAAAACTCCACCTCAGTCTAAAATCCTGGATAATTTATCCGACTCACGGGCAACTATTGATATCAGGGAGACTCCCGGACCTTCCGGGAGTCTTGGGAGGTCTGCGTTACATACTGTAGTTTGAGGCTCTGAAAACTATCCGGCTTACCACAGGTTCTACTACTGCAGCAGCCGCACTGACATCATGTTCACTGCTCGGTTCGCCGTCGCCTCCACTGCAACCACCACCACCATCATATTTCACATCAGACACCGGAGCAGATGGAGAGCCTGCTGATGGGAACATGTCAGTCAGTTTGACACATTTCGCAGCATCCGTTTGAAGAACTCGTTTCTTTTTCTCGCGCAGTTTCTGCTGATTTTAGTTTTCTTCATGCATTATGCAAATAAAACGAGGCAGAAATATAATACTAATAATAATAATAATAATAATAATAATAATAATAATAATAATACATATTATTAATATACATGTCGGCCCAAACAGCACGTCGGCCCACCGGGCAAATGCCCGATACGCCCGATTACCAGTCCATGCCTGAGCATGACCACACTGCATGAATTAAGTACCCTGAGAGGGACCAAACTTAAATAAGGACAAAAGGTATTCAAAAATGGGAAAGACATTTTTACAGATCTACAGCTCTTTCAACCTTGAATAAAGCTCCTTTTAGGTTCCTTCAGGCTCTACCTGAAGGAACCCAAAATCTTTGCCTGTAGGTTTCACTGTTGATATCATACGTCTGTAAAATAACTGGTTTGACTTGGTCCATAATTCATTTCAAAGATTGATTCAAAGTTTTCTATCCAAGGAAAACCAGCTGATTGCATCGACTCATTGACTCTTCAGCAATCCCTCACACTAAGCATGCTTGTAGCGACAGTGGAGAGGAAAAACTCCCTTTGAACAGGAAGAAACCTCCAGCAGAACCAGGCTCAGTGTGAGCGGCCATCTGCTGAGGCCCACTGGGGTTCAAGGAGACAGAAGCAGACATAGAAAAAGAAGCATAGATACAAAAGGCAACTGTCAACCAGCTCCACAGGCGGCCCCGTCCAGGAAACACACAGCCAGGAAGTCATATGTGTATATATATATATACCGGTGTATATATATATATATATACCTGAGAGCAGCGGGGGAGAATCCTATTTGTAATTAAATGTAACTAGCTCTACGTCATCAGTGTCGCCAACACCGCAATGATTTCAGCGCAGCGATCAGACGATCAGTGATGTGTAGAATGAAAATAGCTGCATGAGCTGAAACGCTGTATAAAGCAACAATATTTATACAATAACCTGCCCTGTTTACTAGGGGGCAAATATAACTCAAGCAATCTCTCCACTGCAGACATGCAGACGGCATCGTGAAACTGCATAAAGTTGGCAATAAACTCACAGATTGGGCTTTTCCGGATTAATAACCCGTCGGCGGGTGATTTTATTCTATGAAACAGACACCTCTGTGCAACCACAGAGCTACTACCGTAGTTTCCTCAAAACGAGTCTCCTATCGCGCTGGGAGAATTAGTCGCTTTTTTGAAAAAGAGTCGCTGGAGGGGTCTGAAAAGTCCCTAAATTTTCGCTGAGTTGGCAACACTGGGGGGGTGGGGGGGGGGGGGGGGGGTGTTAACCAAACCATCCCAGTTCCCATGTCTCTGACCAACTCATCAGCAATCATAAACCTTACAGGTTATGTCCTTTAATGGAAGACGCTCCCTGTAGTCCAAATATGTTGGATCCCTGCAGGATCCCCTTTCATGCTTCCCCTTCTCCTTTATTTAGAAGTTTGGGTTCTTTTAAAAACTTTTCCTATTGTTATTCTGCCATCTAATGCTCAACATGTTGGTGCTATCACAACTAAACACAACAAGCATTTAGCCCTGAACCCCTCTATTCAAACAAAGTAAATAAAATGGTTAAGTTTCATAATTGATTCTTTTCTCTACGACTTCATAAAAGTTTGTTGAACTTCCAGTAAAGCTCCCATTGTTAACAGAAAGTTGCCGAATGTTTAGGCAGAGCTGCTTTCTCCTGTAAATGTGAAGTTCAATTCAGCTGGACTGAAGGACAAGAACGACTCTATCTGCTGAATAATTTCAGGGCGCAATGCTTCATTTATCTTCATCGACCAAAACAAGAAGTGGGCTGATGCTCAGAGCTTCTGCAGAGAGCATCACACAGACCTGGCCAGCGTCAGATCCACCTCAGAGCTGGAGCAGATAAAGGAGCTGCTGCAGTCAGAGGGAGAGAATCAAGTCTGGATCGGTCTCTACAGGAACTCCTGGACGTGGGTGGATGGAAGCAGCTTCTCATATGATCACTGGGCTTCATCAGAACCTAATGGACCAGTGGATAACTGTGTAGCTGCTGCAATGGATGATGGAGGAAAATGGGAGGACTGGGACTGTAGCTCCGCTATTCCTTTTTTTTGCTATGGAGGTGAGCCATAATTTAACTGCTCTTTATCCTTTTTATGTTCAAATGATTCTGGGTCTTTTTTATTATATTCGTACAGTTTGACTTTGTAACATAAGTGATGAAAATGACATATTTAAAAGCTTAAAACAAAACTTGTCAGAGTCGTTCATCTCTGTGAAACTCCCGGATCGTGTTCTCCTCCCTCCCTCTTTACCCAGCATGCATCAGAGCAGACCTGTCCGTTCTTGAATTTGACAGCTGTCCCAGCATGCACTAAGTCGTCTGCATAGGTGCCGCAGTGAACAAAAAGACGTCCCCGCCCCCTCCGCAGACGCTCCGCTGCTCCTCTCCCGAATTGTAGGTGACCTCAGACAGTGCCGCAGACAGGAGGCCGGCTTCTTTTGTTTTTATGACCGAAATTGCTGAAAACAACTCGAGAAGATGGACCCGCTAGAAGAGCGCGGTGCGCCAGAACGCTGGGACCCTTTTGCCACCTGGATCCCCGCTCTTTTTAGCCCTCATGTCCCTCTGTTGTCGCACAAACTCACCCCCACTCCCTCACCACCTCGGCCGTATCTAGACCCACAGTGTAAAGCGCAGACCACGCTTCAAATTTGAGCATCAATCAAAAATATCTGCATCAAGCTCACTGCGACACACTGCTGTAGGAGGATAACCAGGACTTAACGTTAGTCCGTCTGCAGCGGCCAGGACTTAACGTTAGTCCGTCTGCAGCAGCCGGGGCTTAACGTTAGTCCGTCTGCAGCGGCCAGGACTTAACGTTAGTCCGTCTGCAGCGGCCAGGACTTAACGTTAGCCCGTCTGCAGCAGCCGGGGCTTAACGTTAGTCCGTCTGCAGCGGCCAGGGCTAACGTTAGTCCGTCTGCAGCGGCCAGGACTTAACGTTAGCCCGTCTGCAGAGGCCGGGGCTTAACGTTAGTCCGTCTGCAGCGGCCGGGGCTAACGTTAGTCCGTCTGCAGCGGCCAGGGCTAACGTTAGTCCGTCTGCAGCGGCCAGGACTTAACGTTAGCCCGTCTGCAGCGGCCGGGGCTTAACGTTAGTCCGTCTGCAGCGGCCGGGGCTAACGTTAGTCCGTCTGCAGCGGCAAGGACTTAACGTTAGTCCGTCTGCAGCGGCCAGGACTTAACGTTAGCCCGTCTGCAGCGGACGGGGCTTAACGTTGGTCCGTCTGCAGCGGCCAGGACTTAACGTTAGCCCGTCTGCAGCGGCCGGGGCTTAACGTTAGTCCGTCTGCAGCGGCCAGGGCTAACGTTAGTCCGTCTGCAGCGGCCAGGACTTAACGTTAGTCCGTCTGCAGCAGCCGGGGCTTAACGTTAGTCCGTCTGCAGCGGCCAGGGCTAACGTTAGTCCGTCTGCAGCGGCCAGGACTTAACGTTAGCCCGTCTGCAGAGGCCGGGGCTTAACGTTAGTCCGTCTGCAGCGGCCGGGGCTAACGTTAGTCCGTCTGCAGCGGCCAGGGCTAACGTTAGTCCGTCTGCAGCGGCCAGGACTTAACGTTAGCCCGTCTGCAGCGGCCGGGGCTTAACGTTAGTCCGTCTGCAGCGGCCGGGGCTAACGTTAGTCCGTCTGCAGCGGACGGGGCTTAACGTTGGTCCGTCTGCAGCGGCCGGGGCTTAACGTTAGTCCGTCTGCAGCGGCCAGGGCTAACGTTAGTCCGTCTGCAGCGGCCAGGACTTAACGTTAGCCCGTCTGCAGCGGCCGGGGCTTAACGTTGGTCCGTCTGCAGCGGCCGGGGCTTAACGTTAGTCCGTCTGCAGCGACCGGGGCTTAACGTTAGTCCGTCTGCAGCAGCCGGGGCTTAACGTTAGTCCGTCTGCAGCAGCCGGGGCTTAACGTTAGTCCGTCTGCAGCGGCCGGGGCTTAACGTTAGTCCGTCTGCAGCGGCCGGGGCTTAACGTTAGCCCGTCTGCAGCGGCCGGGGCTTAACGTTAGTCCGTCTGCAGCGGCCGGGGCTTAACGTTAGCCCGTCTGCAGCGGCCGGGGCTAACGTTAGTCCGTCTGCAGTGGCCAGGACTCAACGTTAGCCCGTCTGCAGCGGCCGGGGCTAACGTTAGTCCGTCTGCAGTGGCGCTCTCTCTGCATAGCCGTGTGTAAAAGGACCGCTGGCTCTGATGGCGATATTTTTGTTTTATTTGGCAAAATGTTCATTTGGTTTGTGTTTATCTGACTGTGTTTATTATTATTCCCCCGTGAAAGAAAGTCAGAATGTATTATTATCCAGAGACTATTAATAACAGGAGGTGAAATGCAGCTCCAGACGAGCTTTGAATGTGGTGATGTCATCAGTACGCTGCTGTTCTAATTGACCCAGACTTATTCTGCGTTCTCCCGTTCTCTACGAGTCCAGACTTTCCTGGGTTCTAGTCAAGAACGGACTTGGCGAGAACACCAGTCCGTACTCTAGTTCTAGTGAATTGAGAAACAGCCTCTGTCTGCTGCTTCTGTGTACTTTGCCTGTCAAGTGTCACTGTTGCTAGGCGACACAGCGTACGGGCGGTGGAAGCCGTTGAATCCACAGCCAAAACTCTTCTGGCCTTATTTTCATGGACCTTGAAGGACCCAGTCCAGGTAGACCAGGTCCTGGAAGGACACAGCCTCTGAAATCAAACACACCCAGAGTCTATAGGCAAAGATCTTTGCGCCCCACGGTGGAAATACGTCACCGATCGGTGAATGAAACAGCTTTACACATTATTAAAGATTAGATATTTATCTTGCACATCTAAAAATATGTTAATATATTTCAAAGTATTTTAATTTTATAATTTCATTTTTATTTGTTTTTAGCGCCATCGGTTGACCAGCTGCCACTGAACTAAGCCAAGATGTTACTGAATCGATTCACTGACCCATCTGACCCAAGACTAACTGAGATTTATTTGAAATGGACAAAATCTGCTTTTCTCATCCCCAGAAATGAAGCTTGTAACTCAGCCCCACACTGCTCTAACGTCTGTCTCCATTTCCTTCCCCAAAGATGGACTTTCTAAGCAGCTGGTGAAGGTGAAGCTGGTGAAGCTGAAGCTGGTGAAGAGCTCCTCCCTGGACCTGAAGGACGCTGCTGTGCTGGAAGACCTGCTGATGAAGGTAACGCCTGTTAGTTTAACATCCACTTAACTGACTTACAGGTAGTTTCCTCTAAAGCTTCCTTCAACGACAGCCAGGAAGGCCGTTTAACTAGGAGCCTGGAAACATTTTGGTCATGATGCCTTCATGCTTTCAGTTACAGTAGCAGCCTTTCAAAATGGCCCTTTCCTGTCAAGATTTGGTTTTGAGGTTTTTGTTTGGACCCAAAAGTCCAACTTTGAAATGGTAAATAAAAACAGGAATCCCAAAAATCCGACATAAAAATCAAACACAAACCAGAACCATGGAGACATCAGGGGAAAACCATCAAGGAGCCAGGATGAGAAAAGGTAAGACGAGGAAACAGCAAAGAGGGACTGCAGAGGGAGTGTATTTATGGCTGACTGAACAAAGGTAGAGCTAATGAGCGGATAGGGAACAGGTGTGATTAGAGCTGACGAGGAAGCCAAGGGAAAAGAACACAAGGGGGCAGCAGAGGACAGACAGAAAAACCTAAGCAACTTAAATGAATCCAGACAAACCAATAAAGCTAGAAAAAAAATGAAAAACCTAGCTAAACTTGAAACTGAAAACTTAAAGAAAAACAACAGAACCAAGCCAAGGACCAGCCAAGGGCCAGCCAAGGTCCAGCCAAGGTCCAGCCAAGGACCAGCCAAGGACCAGCCAAGGACCAGCCAAGGACCAGCCAAGGGCCAGCCAAGGGCCAGCCAAGGACCAGCCAAAGACCAGCCAAGGTCCAGCCAAGGACCAGCCAAAGACCAGCCAAGGTCCAGCCAAGGACCAGCCAAGGGCCAGCCAAGGTCCAGCCAAGGACCAGCCAAAGACCAGCCAAGGGCCAGCCAAGGTCCAGCCAAGGACCAGCCAAAAACCAGCCAAGGACCAGCCAAGGGCCAGCCAAGGTCCAGCCAAGGACCAGCCAAAGACCAGCCAAGGTCCAGCCAAGGACCAGCCAAGGACCAGCCAAAGACCAGCCAAGGACCAGCCAAGGGCCAGCCAAGGTCCAGGCAAGGACCAGCCAAGGTCCAGCCAAGGACCAGCCAAGGGCCAGCCAAGGTCCAGCCAAGGACCAGCCAAAGACCAGCCAAGGGCCAGCCAAGGTCCAGCCAAGGACCAGCCAAAGACCAGCCAAGGACCAGCCAAGGGCCAGCCAAAGACCAGCCAAGGTCCAGCCAAGGTCCAGCCAAGGGCCAGCCAAAGACCAGCCAAGGACCAGCCAAGGGCCAGCCAAAGACCAGCCAAGGACCAGCCAAGGACCAGCCAAAGACCAGCCAAGGTCCAGCCAAGGTCCAGCCAAGGACCAGCCAAAGACCAGCCAAGGGCCAGCCAAGGTCCAGCCAAGGACCAGCCAAAGACCAGCCAAGGTCCAGCCAAGGTCCAGCCAAGGACCAGCCAAAGACCAGCCAAGGACCAGCCAAGGGCCAGCCAAGGACCAGCCAAAGACCAGCCAAGGACCAGCCAAGGGCCAGCCAAGGACCAGCCAAAGACCAGCCAAGGGCCAGCCAAGGTCCAGCTAAGGACCAGCCAAGGGCCAGCCAAGGTCCAGCCAAGGACCAGCCAAAGACCAGCCAAGGTCCAGCCAAGGACCAGCCAAGGGCCAGCCAAGGTCCAGCCAAGGACCAGCCAAAGACCAGCCAAGGGCCAGCCAAGGTCCAGCCAAGGACCAGCCAAAGACCAGCCAAGGACCAGCCAAGGGCCAGCCAAAGACCAGCTAAGGTCCAGCCAAGGTCCAGCCAAGGGCCAGCCAAAGACCAGCCAAGGACCAGCCAAGGGCCAGCCAAAGACCAGCCAAGGTCCAGCCAAGGACCAGCCAAGGACCAGCCAAGGACCAGCCAAAGACCAGCCAAGGTCCAGCCAAGGTCCAGCCAAGGACCAGCCAAAGACCAGCCAAGGGCCAGCCAAGGTCCAGCCAAGGACCAGCCAAAGACCAGCCAAGGTCCAGCCAAGGTCCAGCCAAGGTCCAGCCAAGGACCAGCCAAGGGCCAGCCAAGGACCAACCAAGGACCAGCCAAGGTCCAGCCAAAGACCAGCCAAGGGCCAGCCAAGGTCCAGCCAAGGACCAGCCAAAGACCAGCCAAGGGCCAGCCAAGGTCCAGCCAAGGACCAGCCAAGGGCCAGCCAAGGGCCAGCCAAGGTCCAGCCAAGGACCAGCCAAGGACCAGCCAAGGACCAGCCAAGGTCCAGCCAAGGACCAGCCAAGGACCAACCAAGGGCCAGCCAAGGACCAACCAAGGACCAGCCAAGGACCAGCCAAGGACCAGCCAAGGTCCAGCCAAGGACCAGCCAAGGACCAGCCAAGGACCAGCCAAGGACCAGCCAAGGACCAGCCAAGGACCAGCCAAGGTCCAGCCAAGGACCAGCCAAGGACCAGCCAAGGTCCAGCCAAGGACCAGCCAAGGACCAGCCAAGGACCAGCCAAGGACCAGCCAAGGTCCAGCCAAGGACCAGCCAAGGACCAGCCAAGGTCCCATCAAGGACCAGCCAAGGTCCAGCCAAGGTCCCATCAAGGAAAGTGGGGAAATTTTGAATGGCTACTACTGTATTTATCTAAAAAGGAGTTTTCTTGTTTATCTAAGTGAAATGACTGAATTTTAAAACAAAAAAGAGCTCAAGTCTCTGTTGTAAACTCAATATTAACTGTGCAACTAATTCATGTTTTAAAAAATTATTTCTTGCACATTTTTGCATTTATAATTGTTGTGTGTTTCTGCTTAAACAGAAGCTGAGGGACTCTGGGGTGGAAGTAGACGTCAAGCTGAGCTGGAGGAAACAATCTGGCGGAGAGATCTTCAAAAAGGACGAATTATGAGCTGCAAGCAGGAAAAGGCGTCTCCTCCAAAGTCTTTTATCTTCTTTAGTCTCTAGATGTTTTACCACTCAGTCATTTATCATGTTTGTGGTGTAATTATCATCTTTTCTTTCCAAGTTGTTATGGAAACAAATGTCTAATCTTTGAATTTAGAGGCATAATCTGAAGCAGGAAAACCTGAATTTTTAACCTTAATCTGTAGTTTAATGCTCATCAGGCTTTTAGCTAGCATTGTGAATGTACTGCTTTGCCCTCATTTTCCCCTGCAAACTTTGCTCAAATGTTTTCTTAAGCAATAAATGCTGCAGTTCAAATTCAACCAATGAGAGAAGCTGATCTGGGAGCTGGCAGGGAGTCAGACGCAGCGCTGCTGATGCAGAGCGCTATGATCACTCCTCTGAAACAGTTTATTAACGCCTAAATTAACTTCAAATGTAGAAACCTGCCGGCAGAATATGTTGGCTTTTATTATCCTGCTGCCTGCAGTTTGTAGCACAGACCTGAAAAACGCTAACATCTACTTCCAGCCGCCACCAACAGGAGGGGAAAACCCCCAAGAGGCGAGCGGGCCTGAGGCAGCTGCTGCTGGGGATTCCCAGTGACAGCGCAGCGCCGGTATGTGGGGGTCTGAGCGGCTCCCACAGAGAAATAATCTTTGAAGGCAGGATGGTAATCTGGATGAACTGACTGCACAGACCATGTTTTCAGGAGGACTTTCTCACTTCAACATAGATTCTAACTACTTTCTACCCGCTGATCACAGCTAATATAGCAAAGCTGCTCTCTGGCATCGAACACAGGAGCAGCAGAAGCATCTGGACTCACTTTACTGGACGTCTGACCTTAATGTGGACGAACATCAGAGATGAAGCAGCAGGAGCTTTTTGCTGCTGAAATATCAGTGTGAGCGTAGCATCAGACTTTCTGATTGTTTGAATTAACCTATGAATCATAATATTGAACCTGAAAATGATATAATTTCCACCTCTAGTCAAGCACACATACTTCCCATAACCAGGAACAAAGACAGAAAGCAGGAAATAGTGTTTGAGAGTCTAAATTTGAAGATTTTCCAGGTGAGGATCCCCTCGGACCCCCTAAAGATGTGATACACCAAGGTGGACCCCTATGAACTATTCCTAGCTAAAAGCCTGATGCTCTTATTCTATTTATTAATGCTGTTTGTTCATTACAGAGGGTTTCTTAAACGTTCAGATATTTAGTTTTACTGCATATTTTAGAAGCTCGTTAGATTTAAAACACAGAAGAAAACCTGCAAACAGGAAACTACATGAACGACTTTACATGTTTGATCTAAAGTAGGAATAAAATCATCAGCTCCTAATAATTCTGCCTAAAGGTGGATGAACATCTCTAATAAAGCTGTTTTTAACATTGTTACATGTTTGTTTTCTTAAACCCTATCCCTGGTTCCATGAGGATGTTTTTCTGACTGAGCATCTTGTAAATCAGATGTAAATAAAAGTGGTTTGACTACTTCAAAGATTCCTACGTGGAAGGGGTTTTACATCCCAGATTACGGATAGTTTGCATTCCTCTTTTGCAAGTCCGTGACAGCAGTGATATAAATGCACTGAAACGGCTGCAAATCCAGAGTCTGAAGAGACAAAAACTGAGGCATGATGGGAATTCTCCAGTTCATCTCCGCTGCATCATGTAAGTGTTTTATATCCTCCTGGTTTCATGTTGGGATTGTTTGCAGTTTTCTTTCATGGTCCAAAGTTTTACAACATCCAGGGGGGATTTACCATTAGGCAATACTAGACAGTTGCCTAGGGCCCCGAGTTCCTGGGGGCCCCATAAAACTCTGTTTACATGTATAATTAATACAAATATTCCTTATTTGTTTACATTAATTATGTTTTTGATCAAAATCCTTCGGCTAAAATGCCATCAGAATGCTGATAAATAGAGAGGAAAAAGGGACAAGAAGAGAGGGACACAACCTAGAACAGATAATGGATGTCTATTCTATTAACATTTATCTATCTGTAGAATGGGTCTGTTTTATTTTTTGTCTTCTTATTTCAGAGGGCCCCCTGCCTGTCTTTGCCTAGGGCCCCAAATTTCCTAAATCCGCGCCTGACAACATCCCCAAAAAACATTCGGCTAAAACAAAGCAGTTTATTCCGACTTAAAAACCTCCCTTTAAACTAAAGATTTTCCTGTTTGATTTCCTAAATATCCGAATTATTCCACATCTTTCATGTCTCTATATGAGGAAGTCAGTTTCTTCATCATAGGAAACCTTTAAACCTTCCAAACATCAGATTGATAAACTCAACTTTGATCCATTCATTTGTAACTTTGTTCAAACTGGAAGATATGACATCATATCTGAATAATTCAAAAAGAAGGAAATGAGCTTTAAGTAGGTTTAAAACCGGCTGCATTGAAAAGCTCCTTCAGGTGACATTGGTTGAGCTGATTACCTGCAGTCTGTAAATAAAACAGCCTTTTGGGTTTTATTTAACAAACTGCTCTTAATCCTTTCCTGGAAATTTGGCTCATTTTTCCTGACAGACCGGGGAGACGGCAGTTCTCCTCCTGATACCTTGGCTGATTGGTTGATCATTTCTTTCGAGGTTAAACGAGGAACCAAAGGGTTCAAAGGTAAAACTGTCTGCAGCTCCATTGAACTTAATGGTTACTCATTAATCTGGGGATCTTCATCTACGTCGGAGACGTCTTCAAAGTCAGGGTGACGACCCTGTGGGGGGTCATGAAGGTAGTGTGGGGGTTTGCTTCTCATCCTCCAGACATCGTTTGAAGCAGCAGGTTTACTGAAAATGTTCTAAGTATTCTAAACCTGTAATCAGGGAAACCAAGTTTCCCACCATGGACTGTTCTCCCTGCTGCCCTCACAGCATTCAATGCAGGACCAGCAGGTTCTGCAGCAGCTTCTTCCCCACCGCCATCACACTGATCAACTAGTAGTTTTTGGAGCGCATACTTTTTCACTTTTACTTGAGTAAAAAGGTCAAGTTGACACATCAACTTTTACCAGAGTGTTTTTAAACTGCAGGATCTATACTTCTACTGAAGTAACTAATGTGTGAACTTTTGACACCACTGCACACTGTAAACATCATCTATTTGCTCTACCAACATGGCTGGATTTTTCATAACCCCTTTAAATAGATCATAACTCAATGTTCAATTGCATTTTGCACCATATTTATTTATTTTGAACTGAACCTTTCCATAGAAATGCCTTCTGCACCATGACTTTAAACTGGTTTCCTATTCTCCTACACTGTTTACATTATGATCATTGCTGCACTTTATAAATGGTTATGTTCATTTCACTGTTGGAAGCTGCTCATTCCCTGTTAAAAAGCTGTATACATTGAATTCCAAAAAATTTAAATAAAAACCTCTGGACTTTGTTTCCAGAATTGAAGACGTTTCTCTTCCATCCAGGAATATTTTTCAATTCAAAATAGAAATAGCGTTGAGTTCCAGGCTTTATACAGCAGCCCAACAAAGCCTGGTTTTTATCACAGTGGGGGTGGAGGTTTGACAGGACCCAAATGCAGACTGAAATGGTTTCTTGAAGATTTAATTAACCAAGAGTTCAACAGAACCAAAAATCCAAAACAAAAATTCACAAAATCCACAAAAACTGAGAACCAGGAACGCTCACAACAAGGGGGTAAAGAAATGATGACAAACCAGCAAAGAGTGACTGAACAGGAGGAGAATAAATGGGAGAGAGAAACAGTCTAATTAGCAGATTGGGAGCAGGTGTGAACAGAGGAGGCTAGAAGGGAGCTAGGGAAAAGGAGACTGACACAAGAGGGCAGCAGAGGGCAAACAAGAAGTATCTAAGAACTCAAATAAAATAAAAAATAACTAGAACACAGGAATGGAAATAAGACCAAAGAAAACTCAGAGATAAAACTTGAACAGAACGAAAACCAAGACAGTTTTGCTTCGGAAACATGCAAATAGAAACGGACAAACGGGTCCCCCCCTTTGGAATGGGGGTTTGGCTTCTTTGTTAGCCTGCAATGCCCCATACCTGTCTATGTCTCTGAAAGGGGGGGTTGTTAGAGGGAATAGTTGGCCTGGCTGAATAGGTGAGGTCTTCTGTCCTCCTGTAAAGGGGTTGGAGCTGCGATGATAGCGGGAAGAAATCAACTCTATCGCTGCATTGGAGGTTTTTGAAAGCTGAAATCTGAGTCCCCCAAGTTAATAAATGATAAAACGGCCTGCCATAGCCCACTTTATATAAACTTACACATTAACTGGAGCAACAATCTTCTCCATCTTCATCTCCTTTGCAACTGTAGCCTATTTCTCTGTCTTTAAACACATTCTCCTTTTTATTTCTGCATCAATATCTCTAGTTCCAGTGGAGTGAAATATGAACTTCCTGTTGCCTGTTGTCATGGTGACTCGTCCAAGCGGTGCTCCACTGATAATGGCTGCTCATACTTATTATGCATGTGCTAAACTCTGAGTGGATCTACTAAGAGTTGATTGAACTAATTCATAGCAGCTATTATGAAACTAAAAACTCAGAGTTTCATCTTTAGGCTAGATTAATTTAGAGTTGAGTATTTGAGTCTGAATTTGTTAACCCTGCTTTATGAAACGGATCCAAGGTTATCTGCAGTAAACTGTCTGCTGTGTCCTCTGTCTCCGCTCTCCTTGCAGCCAATCACGTTGTTTAATTTCCTGATTTAGTCAGGAGATTTTTGTCGTAGTTTTGAGTATAAAGAAATAAATAATAATTCAGTGGGTCTGTTAGACACATTACAGTGTGTCCTAGTGCATAATTCCCTGATGTCTCCATGGTTCTTGGTTGTCTTGCATTTTTAAGTTGGATTTTAGATTCCTGCCTCTGCTACCTGTGAACACTCCATTAAAACTACAAGAACTCACCTCTGCCTCCCTGCCTCTACATTTGGGTCCTTAAACTAAAACCAAACCCTGATACTTTATAGGTTTTATCTCCTTTATTCAAATGTACTTATTATGTATTACAACATAATAGAAAAACTGAATATTAATATGTAGTTAGTTTCATTTTCAGGATTCAACAAATAACAATAATTCAGTTGAACCGAACCACCATAAAACGCTGTTAGTTTTAGATCTGTCTGTTTGTGTTGCAGTGCTGTGTACGGCATCTGGTTTCCCTAAACGTCACTTTCATTATGTCAACGAACCAAAGACCTGGAAAGAAGCTCAGAGTCACTGCAGAGAAAAGTACCTGGACCTGGCAGTGATCACCAGCTTGGAGGACGTGACAACTCTGAACAACATGGTGGAAGTCTTAAATGTACATTTGCAGAAAACATGAGATTGTAATATACATTAAAGTATGCTACATAAAGCTTGTGCAAATGATTCCTCAATTGGGTTAATTGGCTTTAGCGATGGAATGAGACGTTAAAATGGCCGCGCAGTGGTTACCGTGCATGATCCATGCAGAGCGGCCCTAGTCCGCGACCTGTGGTCCTTTGCCACACTCCCCCCCTGTCTAATTCCCCTTTCCTGTCAGTGTACTTTCCAATAATGAGCCACTAGTGCAGTAAAAACCTAAGAAAAAAAAAGGCCTCCTCATGGAAGATTTCAAAGGATAGATGAATGATACAATAAATTTATATATTTATTATCTTATAAATGTGCAATTTGTTTCTGTTAAATGTCAAGTGCTTTAATTCAGTCCTAGCCACCCTTAGAACTCCCCAACAACTTTTATCGCAAAGTTACACCCTTGGCCGTAGCACCCTCTATTGGCCAGCCGCCACTGCTTAAATGTCACATTAAAAATGTTAAAGTTTCCTGTTGTTTCAGAGTTCAGGTAACACTAATTAGAGGTGAGTTTATTGGGACTCAGGCCCCGTCCACACAAAGTCAAAACGAACACGAAATGCTTACGATATTTTCCAGAAGGTTTGTCGTAAAGACGGACACGTAAAATAAATGTGATCGTCCACACGAATGCATGAAAACGCTGCAAAATGTATGCCAGGCCTGTAAGTGGCGCTGTGGTGCCAAAGCAAAAATAGGCGACGAAATGTTGGGCATGCGCACTAATATTTATACATGGTTGCCCTGCGGGTCCATTTTGGTGGTTCAGTCAAATTCAGGTGCTGAACTATGTTGTCTATATTGCTCTGTTCTTCCTGGAGATATTCCAGAAGAAGAAGATTCTGTTGTAAGCCCGACAGCAGGGTGAGTAGCATGAGCAGCAACCATTCAACACAGTACGGCGCCATTGTTGTTGTGATACTGTGTCGCGCATGCGTGTTTAGAGGCGACGCTATGACGCATGCGTGTAAGAAAAAAATGCGGTTAGAGCTTAAAGATGGAAACGCGAAAACGGCGTTTCAAAATCTTCCCACTCTGAAGGCTTAATAAAAAAAAGATCGTTTACAGACCCCCGAAACGCCGGCTTCGTATGGATGAGAGGCTGGTTTGGTGAAAAATTAGTGAACTTAGGCCAGGGTTTGACTTCGTGTGGACGGGGCCTCAGATATCAGCTCTTCCTTGCAGGTAGCCTGGATCGGTCTCTACGATGACGTGAACAGCTGGAGGTGGTCCTACTCTGACCCAAACTTCTACCAAGGCGGTGAGGCTGAGTTCAGGAACTGGCTCCATGGCGAACCAAACAACATGGAAGGCAATGAGCCCTGTGGAGCGATGTGGGCGACTGGAGAGTGGATCGATGTTTCCTGTGAGATTTCCATGAAAACAGTCTGCTCTGATGTTGAAGGTGAGGATGGATGATCAAACACCTAGAGGGGAAGTTAGACTAACTGTTCATTTAGGATGAATATTTAGTGAAAGTGATCCTCCTAAGGTCCAGGGTTCCCACTCAGATCGCATTTCCTCCACTGGATCCACATGCAGTAGAAATATGCTAAAAATTTCTATGGGACGTCTTCCTCACTCCATTCAGTGTGAATTTTATTTACAAAGCGCTTTATAAACAGCTTTTATCTGCAGTAAAGTGCTGCACTGATTTGATGGTTACTGATTTGTACAGATCTGCTGGTCCCCAAACCAGAACCCGTCCTACACCTAGAAATCCTGTCCATAAAAGTTCTGAACAGGACCGGTGACAGAGGGCAGTCCAAAAAAGACAATGAGGACCAACCATCTGCTCCTCTTGTGCAGAGGCCAGATATTTGGGGGGTTTTGGGGATATATGGGGATTCCCAGTGACAGCGCAGCGCCGGTATGTGGGGGTCTGAGCGGCTCCCACAGAGAAATAATCTTTGAAGGCAGGATGGTAATCTGGATGAACTGACTGCACAGACCATGTTTTCAGGAGGACTTTCTCACTTCAACATAGATTCTAACTACTTTCTACCCGCTGATCACAGCTAATATAGCAAAGCTGCTCTCTGGCATCGAACACAGGAGCAGCAGAAGCATCAACTACTGGAGGCTGACTGTAAGGAGAGGATGCGGTCTGATCATGCACTCTTTGTTATCAGAGAACCGAGCCACCGCTGAACCGTGCAGAGCCCTACTGATGAACTGGTGCTAGTTAGTGCGGTTCGGTTGTGTCTGGCGCGGTCCAGTTTAGTTTGCGTACCGTTTACACTCAACAGTTATCTCGGTTACCGTGCTCGGACCGCTCTGTGCACGGTGGTGGAAAAGGGGTTTTTGTTTCTCTTTTCTTTTTATCTCTCCAGCTGCTGTGACCAGTTGGGTTAAAACTACGGTTCTGTGGCTTGTTTTGTAACATTTAGGATGAACTGACTGTCCTGTTTGTGTCTTTAATAATGGAGGAGTCTTGCAATTGTCTTAGTGTACTTTTATTTTTAACACTTCAACCTTACTTTCGGCTATCCTAGCCGTACAGGTTCTTCTTCTGTTCTTATCTAGCTGCCACCTAACAATACTAACACGACAGTGACTCCTAGTGGTAACACTTATCATAACATCCCTCTTTCTTTAAGGTGATTGAACAATAAACACTGTACAGCGAAATGACAGTACTTTTGCTCTTAAGTAACATTAACACAAACTCTGAGCAACCATGCACTCAAAACATAGATTACATTGAACATTTGTTTTACATCTCCAGTCTGTCGGGTTTCTTTATTTCACATTTTGACCTTCTCAAATCCTGTTTGCCCGGTGGTATATTTGCATTACAGTTCATTAGAGGTGCAGTTTCAGTTATTCCCGGTGGTTCTGAAGTAGCATTGGTGGACTCACTGGTTATGTGTGGAGTCTTCAGGAGACTAGGCGATTGCGCCTCAGCACCTGTCCATCCTCTGTTCTCACTGTGAAGGACCTTTGGGCTGTTTCATTCACCACAGTTCCTTTTACATGCCAACCATCCGCATCCTGAATCCTAACTGTGTCGTTGTTTGTCAGGGGAGAGAGTGGTTTGGCCGACACATCATAGAATCTCTTTTGCGTCATTTTTTGCTCTTTGAGCTTGTTGTTAAGCTTCCTGTGCTTCATTTGTGTGGTATGATTGGAATAGCTGGGAAGTGTTGTACGCAGCTTTCGATTCATCAGTAGTTCTGCAGGTGACAGTGCTGAAGTGGAGAGGCCCGATAACTAAGTAGTGCCAAATATGGATCAGAGTTGCTGTCAGCTGCTTTCTTCACCAGTTGCTTTAGGATATGCATACCTTTTTCAGCCGGACCATTTGATTGTGCATAGTGTGGACTTGCTGTGACGTGACGAAATTCGTACTGCGTTGCAAACCTTTGCCATTCTCTACTGCTGAAACATGGCCCATTATCGCTCACTACCATGTGTGGAATGCCATGCCTGGCAAATATGGATTTAGTATGCGTGATCACACATGCTGAGGATGTATTTGTGAGTAGTGCCATTTCTGGAAAGTTGGAAAAGTAGTCTATTACCACAAGATAGTCTTTGCCCTTGAGGTGAAATAAGTCCATCCCTACTTTCTGCCATGGGGATGTGGGCATTTCTGGTATCACCATTGGTTCTTTGCTTTGTTTACTCCTATGTTTTTGGCATGTTTCACATTTGCTAACTAGTGTCTCGATGTCTTTGTTTAGTCCTGGCCAGTACACAGACTCTCTTGCTCTCCTTTTGCATTTTTCAATCCCAAGATGTCCTTCGTGTATCCTCTTTAGAAGATCAGGCCTCAGAGCTTCTGGGATGATTATCCGTCCTTTCTTTAGTAACAGTCCATCAACAAAACTGAGATCTCACATGATAGTACTGAGGGCACGAGCCTGCAACCCATCCATCATCCATGTTCTGAATGACACATTGCAGTTCTGTATCCTGTGTTGTTGCCTCTGCTATTTGTCTTGATTTTGTATCAGACACTGGTAGAGCAGTCACCACTATTTTTATGTGACTTTCAATGTCCTCGTCTGTTGCGCTAACTGAGCCTTCAACAGGTGCTCTGGACAAGGCATCTGCGAGCACCAAGTGTTTTCCCGGTGTATAGACCAGCTCAAAGTCGTATTTTTGCATTTTCATCATCAAGCGCTGGATCCTCGGCGACATTTCATTTTATTATAGATACTAGTGGCCGGTGGTCAGTTTCCACAGTAAAGGATGGCAGTCCATAGATGTAACTGTGAAACCGTTCCAACCCATAGGCTACACCTAAACACTCCTTTTCAATCTGGGCATACTTGCACTCAGACTTGTTCATTGCCCTCGACGCATACGCCACCGGTGTCCAGTACTGCCCCTCAGCTTGTAGAAGCACTGCTCCAATGCCGTTTTTTGATGCATCAGTGGACACTTTCAGTTTTTTGTTGTGGTCATAGTAAGCTAAAGCTGGCGCTATGGTGAGAGCCCGCTTTAGTCTTTGCCACTCTTGTTCGTGTTTTGTGGTCCATGCAAAATCACAGTCATTTTGTAAGAGCTCTCGAATGCAGGACGTCTTAGCTGTGAGGTTGGGAATAAATTTACCTATGAAATTGACCATTCTCATTATGCGTAACACACCTGTTTTGTCTGTTGGACTTGGCATGTTCAGTATCGCCTTTATCTTGTCTTGGTCCGGTTGGACACCTTGAGCTGTGAGTTTGTCTCCGAGGAACAGGATCTCTTGTACTGCAAACTCGCACTTAGCTCTATTGAGTTTCAGTCCATACTTTTGTAAGCACTCCATCACTTTGAACAGTCTCTGGTTGTGCTCTTCGAGGGTTGAGCCCCATACTATGATGTCGTCAATGTAAACTCTGACTCCCTCTAAGCCTTCTATGATCTGTTCCATAGCCCTGTGGAGTATTTCTGGTGCAGATTTGATCCCAAATGGTAGTCTAAGAAAACAATACCTCCCAAAAGGTGTATTAAAGGTACAGTACTTAGTGCTGCTCTCATCTAGTCTCAACTGCCAAAAGCCTTGTTAGGCATCAAGTTTTGTGAAATAATTCGCTCCTGCAATATCACTGATGATTTCCTCTTGTGTTGGTATTTGATAGTACTCACGTTTAATGTTCTCATTTAGATCTTTCGGATCCATGCATGTTCTTAACTCTCCATTCTTTTTCTTTGTGACCACCATGGAGTTGACCCAATCTGTAGGCTCCTGGACCTTTTTGATCACCCCCAGATTGGTCATCCTGTCAAGTTCTTGTTTATGGGCTTCACGCAGTGGAGCTGGGACCCTCCATGGTGCATGCACAACTGGTTGGGCGCCTTCCTTTAGTTGGATTTTGTAGGTAAAGGGCAGTGTCCCAAATCCTTTAAACACATTAGAAAAGCTTTGCACAATATCATTAGTGTCATATTTTGAGGCTGTTTCAATACAGTACACTCTTTTCACTAGCCCAAGCTCTTCACAGCTCCTATCACCCAACAATGATTCACATTTATCACTCACAACAGAAAAATGTACCGTGTACACTTTACCTTTAACATTAATATTGAGTTTACATGTACCCAAACACTCTATGGGTTGTCCATTATAATCTTTAAGTGCTGAACTCTTTCTTTGTATCTTTGGTTTTACCTGCATTTCCCGTACATCAGACATGCTAATGAGATTTGCTTTAGCACCAGTGTCCAGTCTCATAGTCACCACAGTCCCATTAATCAGCAGAGGAGTGATCCATTTGTCATCATTTGTGATGCTGTTAACTTTTTCCCCTTCATTTTCAAAGTTAACGAGCCCAACAAAGAAAGTGTCACTTAGATCTGTGTCATCCACTACGTTCACATGTTTGCCTTTTTGTCACACTTGGCATCTCACTGAATGTTTTCATGTGTTTTTGGGATAATTCGCTCGCTTGGCATATGTTTATAGCCATGTCTAGCGACAGCTCGGACTTGCGGAGAAGTCTCTCCCTTAGCTTTTTGTCTTCAACGCCAAAAACAATCTGGTCTCTGACCATGGAGTCCTTCAGTGTCTCAAAATTACACGACTGCGATTTCAGATGCAGGGCTGTCAAAAAACTGTCAAATGGCTCATTTTGCAGCTGCATACGAGACCTAAACATCTATCTTTCATATGTCTCATTTTTCTTCGGAGTGCAGTGAGCATCAAACTTAGCAAGCACAACGTCCATCTTTTCCTCATCCTCTGCCGTCTCAAACATGAACGTATTATATACTTCAATGGCCTGTGGCCCTGCAAGGGTTAGCAAAAGCGCTACCTTTCTCGAATCCGGCTTTGTATCCAGCCCCATGGCCGTAACATACAAGCTGAAGCGTTGCTTGAATGTACGCCAGTTTTCGTCGACGTTGCCCGTCAGCTTCAGGATCTCTGGTGGTTTCAAATCCATGTCGGCTTCTCAGTTTACTCCTGGTACCATGTCGTGTTCTTTAATAATGGAGGAGTCTTGTAATTGTCTAACTGTACTTTTATTTTTAACACTTCAACCTTACTTTCGGCTATCCTAGCCGTACAGGTTCTTCTTCTGTTCTTATCTAGCTGCCACCTAACAACGCTAACACGACAGTGACTCCTAGTGGTAACACTTGTCATAACACTGACCGCCTGGTAATGTTAGTAAAAGTCATTTAGGCAGACCTCGAAGATCTCCCTTTGGTGGTTTGTGCTTCCATTTTCCTTTTCTTAGAAGCATGCGGTATTTTCATTAAAATGTCGCTTCTTTATTCATCTGTTGCTTCTCTTCATGCGCTGCCATTACAGGAGAGCTAAATGTGGAGTTCAGTTCAGCTCCGTATAAACCGGAGCTGGTTGGCAGAAAAGAGCGAAAGATCAGAGAGTGTTTGGAGGTTAAAGGTCAAAGTTTACGCATAACACTGACTTAATCTGCTGTATAATTTCAGGGCGCAATGCTTCATTTATCTTCATCAACCAAACTATGAGCTGGGCTGGAGCTCAGAGCCTCTGCAGAGAGCATCACACGGACCTGGCCAGCGTCAGATCCACCTCAGAGCTGGAGCAGATAAAGGAGCTGCTGCAGTCAGTGGGAGAGGATCAAGCCTGGATCGGTCTCTACAGGAACTCCTGGACGTGGGTGGATGGAAGCAGCTTCTCATTTAATCACTGGGCTTCATCAGAACCTGCAGGACCAGAGGAAAACTGTGCAGCTGCTGCGTTGGATGATGGAGGAAGATGGCAGGACTGGCCTTGTAGCTCTTCCATGCCTTTTTTTTGCTATGAAGGTGAGCCATGATTTAACTGCTTTCCAGCTTTTTCTTTAAATGATCCTGATTATTTTTCTATTAACAGTTTCCATTTGACTAAATAAGGTCACTTCTTCACCACTAAATTCATCAGCTAATTGGTTAGAATCACCTCTTAGTTGTTCTAAAAAGATGTAAAGAATTGAAGCATTAATGAAGCCTTAAATAAGTAATTTATGAGCAACTTCTTGTCCAGTCATTTTTTCTTTAATGCCAAAAAATGTAGGAGTGTTTATATTCTGCTGGATTGACATTGAAGAAGTTATTGCTACTTCCACAAAAAGTTAAAATCAATCCTCTGGACTTTGTTTCCAAGTTTGAAGACGTTTCTCTTCCATCCAGGAAGATTTTTCAATTCAAAATGTCAGAAATAGCGTTTAGTTCCAGGTTTTATCCAGCAGCCCAACAAAGCCTGGTTTTAGTTTAGAAAACATGCAAATAGAAACGGATGAACGGGTCCCCCCCTTTGGAATGGGGGTCGTTTGGCTTCTTTGTTAGCCTGCAATGCCCCATACCTGTCTATGCCTCTGAAAGGGGGGTCGTTAGAGGGAATAGTTGGTCTGTCTGAATAGTGCAATTTGCCAATGTAACTAATTTGTTTTGATCCACTGGGTAAAACTGGGGAAAAACAGTCAAACTAGATTGGCTGGTTTAACCAAAGGTCGGTTGAACATATAACTTCCAACCAGTTTAAAACCAAAAACCTTGGAAAAACTATTATTTTTGAATAAAAATGACTAACACCTTTCATTTTGCTAATCACTGATGATTTGCATTTTCACTGTCTGCTTGAGCTTATGTCACTAAAATGAAAAGCAGTCTACTTTAAAATAATGTTCTCTTCTGAGATATTTTACTCACAAAAAAATAAACTTACAAAAGTTTTTATTATACACACCAATCATGAACAATTTCAAAGGAATTTAAATGAAATAAAAACTGTCATGGTTTTGGTTCTGTTTGAGTTTTATCTTTGAGTTTTCATTGGTTTTATTAAATTTTTGGGTTATTCTAGTTATTTTTGATTGTATTTGAGTTCTTAGGTATTTCTTGTTTGCCCCCCTTTTCCCTAGCTCCCTTCTAGTCTCCTCTGTTCACACCTGCTCCCAATCTGCTGATTAGCCTGTTCTTTGTTTCTCTCTCCCTATCTACCTCCTGCTCAGAAACTGTTGCTGGTTTGTACACTCAGGTTGGGTGGAGGTTTGACAGGACCCAAATGCAGACACTGAAGCTGAAGGTGGTTACTTGCAGATCGAATAACAAAAAGGGTAACAGAAGCAAAATCCACAACAATAATCCACCAAATGAACATATACTGAAAAACAGGAATACTCTCAACAAGCGGCAAAGAAACGGCGACAAACCAGAAACAGTTTCTGAGCAGGAGGCGCATAGGGAGAGAGAAGCAAAGACCAGACTAATCAGCAGATTGGGAGCAGGTGTGAACAGAGGAGACTAGAAGGGAGCTAATTTCATAATTAAAGAACTTTAAGTTTGGATTCTGAATGTGAGCGATTTTTCCTTTAACACACAGCTTCTCTCCAGTTAAATTCCCTAAACCATGAAAAGTGAATCCAGGATCAAATCAAGTAACTTGTGACCCGGTTCTGTTCCTTAAAGGTCCGGTTTTTAAGCAGCTGGTGAAGGTGAAGCTGGTGAAGAGCTCCTCCCTGGACCTGAAGGACGCTGCTGTGCTGGAAGACCTGCTGAAGAAGGTAGGAATCCTTCAGCTTTGGTCGCTCCCTCTGAGTGACGCTTGCATTAGGAGTCTCAGCTTCAGATACAAAGAAGCTGGATTTAGAGGTTTGGAAGGACGCTGAAGGAAGGAGAGTCTTTGCTGAACACCCAAATATCTCCAAGGTTAAACTTTAGGAATGAGGCGCCCTTTTACAGGTCCATAGCACCATGCTGCCATTACTGTGCTTGGTAGTTGCCTCAGACAATCCTGAATGAGTTTTCAATCTTCCCTTATTTAGAAAACGAAAGATTTCAGTCATTAAGACCCAAAGTGTGATGTAAGAACCTGCAGTGTGATGCTGAGCCTTTAGCCGCTGCTGGAGGGATTCAGCTGGTTTCTGTTTTTCTCTCCCAGTTTGAACAGAAGCTGAAGGACAGTGGAGTGGAAGGAGACGTGAAGCTGAGCTGGAAGGAGCAGTCGGAGGGAGAGATCTTCCTCCGGGAGGAATAACGAGCTTCAAACCAAACGTTTGTTGTTGGTTCTGACCTTCTGGTCACAATCGTCTGAAAGGAGGCAGAACTTTGTTAGATGTGTGATGCAGCAAAGATCAGTGTGGATGTAGTTCTATAGAAGCTAACCGTAGCTGAATTTATCTCCTGTATTTTTCTGATTATCATTCCAATTATCCTTTACTTAGTTTAAACAGGAATCATTTCTGCAAACATGTTTACCTGAATAACTAAAGTCCTCCTCCATGCAGGTGCGTAACTTCCTGTATGCTTTCATAGTCGCGTCTGATTGGCTGAAAGGACAGGATGCCTGTCAATCAAAGGTTAAATCTGTTCCTCTGTGACTTAGCAGTTCTGCAAACGTTTGTTCTGTTTCTGCTGCTCCGTGCTTTTATTGCTCCAAAGTTGGACTGTTTGATTCATTTAAAAATGCAATAAAAACTTAGAGCGATTGATTGATTGATTGACTTTATTGATCTGACAGCGGAGAAATACACTCTTTAGTTCAAAATTAAAGCCATCCACTTAATATAAGCAAGAATCCAACAAAGATGGTAAAGCTAATCAACACAGAATCGTCAAACTAATTATATATAGAAACATGTTTGTTAAAGATCTCAGGAAGCTGCAGAGGAATGATTTACTGACTGTAAAACACCTTCAAGCAAATCGGTCACTTAAGAGGAAGAATGCAAATGAAGCCACTTTGAATTGTTTGGATTTCTGAATTGTTTGCATGTAAATCCTGACATGCAAACAGTTTGCATGCGAGCTCCTTTTGCATGTGAAGGACAGCAGAGCGATGAGCAGCTGCAGGAAGAACCAGGATGGAGGTTCTTCACTGCTTCATCAGGCAGCTTTCCATCGTCTGCCATCAGAATATTCCAGATTCAAATCAAATATGTGGACAGTCAATCAGCCGCATACGACTGAAAGGTCTTCTGCTTAAATCCAAGCAGGACTTTTTCCCACTGAAGGCCTGTTTTTCCTCCTCTACTTAAAGCTGCTTAAATCAGAGGAGCCTGAGAACCTGCAGAGCTTTTTTCATCCCTGTAGGATTTAGTTATTTTCCCTTCATATTGTGGATTGAATTTACATTCATTTATCCGTTAATCAGCTGAATTTCCCAACTGAGGAACAGTAACGACACCTTGATCAGGCTTCAGCTTCACTGCTGGAAATTATTCTATGGTTTTTATATCGTTCTGTTCGATCAAAATATGTTTTAGAATATAAGATTCCTTTTTTCTAAAATGCCTTTATTTTAATTTTCTTTGTTCTTCATTTTAAATCCAGTTGGATTTATTCTCCCATTAATCTTCTTCTATATTCTATTTACAGATGTTTTCCACTCGGCTCATAATTAGCTTGAATTTGACTGGTTTATGGTTTAAATAAGGTGAAAATAGTGAATCTGTGCAGAACAAACACTTCCTTCCAGGTGGGATCGTCAAAATAATTCAGATTTTAATGAATATGTGAGAAAACAACAGAACTTCTTGCTGTATGTTGGTGAAGATTCTCAGTCATCCATGTCAGAGTCATTCTAAAAAAGTTCAAAATCAATCCTCTGGACGTTGTTTCCAAGTTTGAAGACGTTTCTCTTCCATCCAGGAAGCTTTTTCAATCCAAAATGTCAGAAATAGTGTTTAGTTCCAGGTTTTATCCAGCAGCCCAACAAAGCCTGGTTTTAGTTTAGAAAACATGCAAATAGAAACGGATGAACGGGTCCCCCCCTTTGGAATGGGGGTCGTTTGGCTTCTTTGTTAGCCTGCAATGCCCCATACCTGTCTATGTCTCTGAAAGGGGGGTCGTTAAGGGGAATTGTTGGCCTGGCTGAACTTTTTTACTTTTTTTTCTTGATTTTTTTTTTTACTTTTTAATTAGCTTTTTACTTTTACTCTTGACTTTTTAACATTTTAATTAAGATTTTACCTGTTTTTTTCTTTTTATTTAGCTTAATTTCCAGTAGGTAACATATCATTCAAGGGTTCAGCTAATTGGTCAAATTCCTAAATATGATGTACAGGTGGATGGTGGGGGGACTCCATTTGTAAAGTGATCAAAAACGTCAACTTGCCCAATAAAGGGTTAAATTTTTCCTATGTTAACATTTACTTGACAACAGAAACTCTGTGGTTAATGATGCTCATCAATATAATAACATTAAAGGTAATGAATACAGAATTAATGCTCTTTTCAGAACTATCTCTGCAAGTCTCTGCAAGTCCTCTATGAGTCTTCCATGAAATCAGAAATAAAAAAAAAAAACACTTTAATAATTATAATAATGATCAATTTAATGTAGATATTAGTACATGTAAACATTAATGTTATGCATAATGATTATTGATAAAAATAGCTAAATAATAACAATGAATAAAATGTTCGCCCTAAAACTCAAACCTGAAGGAATTTTCTTCACACCTTTAATTTAGACGCCATGAATGTTTAATAAGCGTGTATTTGTTAGCAAAGGCTGTAGGAAAGTATACAGGTGCTGGTCATAAAATTAGAATATCATGAAAAAGTAGATTGATTTCAGTAATTCCATTTAAAAAGTGAAACTTGTATATTATATTCATACATTACATACAAACTCATATATTTCAGATGTTTATTTTGTTTAATTTTGATGATTACAAATGACAACAAATGAAAATCTCAAATTCATCATATCAGAAAATTAGAATATTACTGAAGACCAATAAAAACAAAGGATTTATAGAAATGTTGGCCAACTGAAAAGTATGAACATGAAAAGTATGAGCATGTACAGCACTCAGTATTTAGTTGGGCCTCCTTTGGCCTGTATTACTGCAGCAATGCGGCGTGGCATGGAGTCGATCAGTCTGTGGCACTGCTCAGGTGTTATGATAGCCCAGGTTGCTCTAATAGTGGCTTTTAGCTCTTCTGAATTGTTGGGTCTGGTGTATTGCATCTTCTTCTTCACAATACCCCATAGATTTTCTATGGGGTTAAGGTCAGGAGAGTTTGCTGGCCAATTAAGAACAGGGATACCATGGTCCTTCAACCAGGTACTGGTAGCTTTGGCACTGTGTGCAGGTGCCAAGTCCTGTTGGAAAATGAAATCTGCATCTCCAAAAAGTTGGTCAGCTGCAGGAAGCATGAAGTGCTCTAAAACTTCCTGGTATGTGGCTGCGTTGACCCTGGACCTCAGAAAACACAATGGACCAACACCAGCAGATGACATGGCACCCCAAACCATCACTGACTGTGGAAACTTTACACTGGACTTCAAGCAACGTGGATGAAGTGCCTCTCTTCTTTTCCTCCAGACTCTGGGACCTTGATTTCCAAAGGAAATGCAAAATTTACTTTCATCAGAGAACATGACTTTGGACCACTCACCAGCAGTCCAGTCCTGTTTCTCTTTAGCCCAGGTAAGACGCTTCTGACGCTGTCTGTGGTTCAAGAGTGGCTTGACACAAGGAATGCGACAGCAGAAACCCATGTCTTTCATACGTCTGTGTGTGGTGGTTCTTGAAGCACTCACTCCAGCTGCAGTCCACTCTTTGTGAATCTCCCCCACATTTTTGAAGGGGTTTTGTTTCACAATCCTCTCCAGGGTGCGGTTATCTCTCTTGCTTGTACACTTTTTTCGACCACATCTTTTCCTTCCCTTCGCCTCTCTATTAATGTGCTTGGACACTGAGCTCTGTGAACAGCCAGCCTCTTTAGCGATGACCTTTTGTGTCTTGCCCTCCTTGTGCAAGGTGTCGATGGTCGTCTTTTGGACAACTGTCAAGTCAGCAGTCTTCCCCATGATTGTGTAGCCTATAGAACTAGACTGAAAGACCATTTAAAGGCTTTTGCAGGTGGTTTGAGTTAATTAGCTGATTAGAGTGTGGCACCAGGGGCCATCAATTTTGAACCTTTTCACAATATTCTAATTTTCTGATATGATGAATTTGAGATTTTCATTTGTTGTCATTTGTAATCATCAAAATTAAACAAAATAAACATCTGAAATATATGAGTTTGTATGTAATGTATGAATATAATATACAAGTTTCCCCCCCCCCCAGTGACCATGGTTACTGCCTGGACACCATTATTAACATGTTCTGGCTGCGCCTCTGCGGCAGGAGAAGTTTCAGCACTGCCAGATTTTGTCCACCAGAGGGCAGCAGATCTCATTTGTTCCTCACTTATTTAAGTTATTTTTAAATTTTTTTAATCCAGAAATATTTGTGTTCATGTTTAATGAGCTTTATTTTCCATCTTTTATCAAGTAACCTTTCTCTCCTCATCACATAATATTCTTAACAACAAATTTGAGATCAGTTTTCATCTCACTGCTGAGAAAAAGCCTCTTTGCATCAGAAATGTGTTCCTTTTATTATAGTTTATAGTTGAAGACAAATTAAACAGTTTGTTGTACAAATATTTTGAAGGACATAATCTGAATGTTAGCGATCGATTTTACCTTTAAAGCTAAACATCAGACATAGATCATATCAATATATTAAATTACCAATATTGTTTTGTTTTTAAATGCATGAAATATAGGTGAGACCAGATGAGTTTTAAAATAATCGGATATCAGCCAAAAATCCCCCCCCCCCCCCCTATAAAACTGTATTATGTTACTGATTCTTGACCCAAAGGTATAAAATGATCTACTTTAATATTTTGCCATATGAATACTTAACATCTGTTTTGCTGTGACTTTTGAAAGTATTCACACCCCTGGAACTTTTCTACATCTTGTCTAATTGAAAACAGGCCTTAAGGTGTTTCTGGTTAAAATGTTTTGTAATACTGTAGACTCTCAGACGCTCAGAACGTTGGACCGAGAATTCAAGCAAACAGAGTTTTATCAAAACAGGCGTTTATTATTCGCTCTGCAACCATTGGCTCAACAGCTGGAGCAGCTTCACTGGATCCTCTAGTTATGAGTTCAGTCTGAGCCCAGAGGAGGAAATCAGAAGAAGACAGAGTCGCTAGAGTTACTCCCACACACAGATCCAATAATCTGCCACCAAAGGCAGGGAACAGACAAGCTAAAATATGAGCAGGAACAGGAGGATCACATGACAGACGATGATCACTGAGTGGACCTAAGCAGATTTGAAAAAGGAGTCAAATCCAGCCATCAGTGCCAAGTTCATGAAAAAACCAGGGGTGGGCAAACTTTATGACTTACGGGCGAGAAAGGGTTGAAAAATCGTCCTGAAAAGGGAAAAAATCGTACATTGTGTGCCTGGCTTAGGTCCTGGTGCTCTGCATTGGTTTGCTCCAGGAACGTAATGAACTGACGGTGATTAAGTCACTTTGTTCAGCATGAAGTTAACAAGTTTTACTGCTGGATCCACGACATGATTAAGCTGCAATACAGACTGACAGAGAGATTCTTGATGAATGATGAAGTGAAGAACAAGAACATCTTGGTCAGGGTTTCCTTCTTTCACTTTACTTGGATTCT